TTTTTCTTTCTTTTATGCAGCTGTTTTTTTTTCGATAAACGTGTGCGTGTGTGTGTGTGCCTGCCGATGTGTGGTTTTTCTAATAAATACAAAACAAATACGCACACGCACAATACATATATCGTACATGTTTCTGATGTTTAGTGGGCGGTTTCGTTGCGCTTCACACATCTCCCATAGAGAATTGCAATGTTCTGCTGTCTTTATGATCTCGAAGTCTTTGTCCTCCCTTCGATTACACCCAGGGAGCTTTTAATCATTTTAATTGCAATCAAGATCGGAAACGTTAATGTAAAAAAACAAAAAAGGGTCGAGTATAAAAACTCGAACCTATGTATGTTAAAAAGTAACTTCTGTTCATAGTGGACACATGAACTGCTTCATCGGCATAGCTCTCCACTCATCTTTCAATAAAAGTTAGTTTTTTGACAACATATTTGAACAAAATTTTGCATTCACTTATTCTTCTATCTATTAGAGTCGTGTTACGCCCATTTTTGTACTAATGGTCCTGGCATATAGAGCTCCATCTGATGTTGTGGGCGTTGTAAAATTTGTAGAAGCAGACACCACTGACAGTGGGGGGAATGGACGACCGGATGGACATGGCTATGTTCAGTTGAAACTATTAAATTTGGAAACAAATACACTTTATGTTGGGCTCTTTTACATATCACAATAAACATCCTTATCATCTGGTGGCAAACATCAAAAGTAACTTTCACTTACGTGCATACATCATAATCCTACTTTAGATCGGGAATTTGATCCCCTTTACATGCTTGGGGAAGTAACAAAGTGTGGTGCGAATGTTGTCCTTTTAATGATTGTTCATGAGAGGCGACATCCAGGCCCTTTAGTATTAAGCAGTTGCTTTTCTTGCCCACTTCTTAGGGATATAAGATAAGCTAAGTTTGCCATATATATGCAATGGGAAAAGAATAAGGACGAAATAACTTCGTAAAGCGTAGCATGGTTTAGTCTGCCAGTTCAAATTACACACTTGGTTCTTTTATTTTCTTGGTTCTTTATATTTAACTGTCATGAAACCCCAATAAAACTGATGCATGTACGAGTCAGTCTATAAGTGATAATTTTTTTGCTTTTGTAACTTACATCTTTATTATTATTCAGAATTTCTGAACCGATTCGAGCTTGTCTGTCCGTCTGTCCGCTTGGCAATCTTGTTTCTTTCGACATACAGGTCGCAATTTTTTGATGAAATTTAGTATATTGACATTTTTTGAATCAAAGACGAGCGGTATTGGACGCTAGGTTGGTGATCGGGTCGGACCACTTCCCAAATAATACCTTATTTGAAAAAATCGTTACATGAAAAAGTGTAGTTAAGCGGTGTGGTTTAGGGTAACGAAAGACGGGCGCACTAATACCTTTAAATAAAATGGGTCGAGTGGTTCCAATAAAGTATTATTATTATTATTATAAATTTAGCCAGAGAATAAATTCTAAGACTAAAGTCTTAAAAGCACTAGCATCTAGGGCTTTCGGTTTTTATTAAAAACTCTACCGCACTTGAGGTTTGAACCCACGACTATTGAGTTGCTAGTCGAGACTCTTGCCTACTCGGCCACTCAGGCGGATCCAATAAAGTAATACATTACATTGATATTGCGTTCTGTAGTTGATTTCAGAATACGCATAAGATTATGTTCCGAATGCGATTCTCGAATAAAGGAAATATTGAGGCAGTCACAAAGAATATGCGTTATTGTAATACGGCCAAGACGGGTACCAGTTTTTACTTGAATTTTCCCAATATAAAGAGAGATGGTTCTAGCGATAACACTGCAGATCCGCTACCGTAATTTTCTCTCTAGCTTTTCTTCGTTTCTTTGAAGGTCCAACTTTTCCATAACATTGTCCATAATTAGAGGGACGGAAGTAGCGGACTTTGCCGTTTGGTCAACTTACTCATTTGTCAATAAAGCAATACCTAAACTAGGTACCTAAAGCCTTTTAATCTTACAATTGCATCTTGCGATAGTATTCCTTAATTTATGAATGGTGCGAAACCGAGAGATTTGCGATAGCTTTCAACACAGTCAGACTACCAGGGACACTAACAGTTTGAGTTTTAATTCATACCTTAGAGGAAGCTTGTTTTAAAATTATCGAATTTCTCCATTGCTCCAAACGAACTTTGAAAATATTAATGAACAAATATTTTCCATTTCCATTTGTTTTTCTATTTCCAACATTGTTTACGCACGCAACTTACAAAAGCTTAGCCAACAAAAAAAAAGAAAAAACTCACTTTGTAGCCAAAAAAAACTAAATTTTCTACTTAATGCTGCGCTGATTTGAACGGATCTATTAAATTCCAGCACGATCACTAAGGAAATATATTTTAATGATTTTTATATCTCTTAAATAAATAATCACTTGAGATTTCTTAACTTGAATGTTTACATTTACATAATTCATTACATGAAACAAATGTGGAATACATTAGTTCTCACCTAGAATTCAAGGAGAAATTTCTACAACGAATATTAATATTATGGTAATTAAATCGATTCAGCGATTGCAACAATACTTCTTGAATGAAAAAACTGGATTATAATAAATTATGTGATCATTTCCAGACTTGCCGCCAGATGATTTCGTAAGTGGTTGCTATTGCTGAAAACTCATAGAACTCAGCGTTATGTTATACTTTAGCAACGAAATTAAAATGAACTGCGATTGAGGCAGTTATTAATTTGCGATATGGGTTCAGGCTGCCTGTAATCGCAAACAAAATTCGTTTCTTTCGCGAAAGTTTGGCACACGTTTTACGAAACAACAAAAATTACTGTCCGAAAATATGGTTTACATTTACCGAAAACTCCAATGTTAATGAAAATATTCCTTTGAACTACTAGACCGGTGGTCTAGGAGCATAAACAAGTATTTTGGGGTATAGAAAAATTGAAAGAACGCCTTTCTTGCTGATCTTAGGAGCTGATCAACTTTAGGATTTGAAATCAAAGCATGTGATATTTAGACGGCGTAATATTTTTACGCTTACACTGTAGACCATAAGCAGGCATCAGCTTTTTTTTTTTAAGCAAGTAAAAATACTATGGGGGTTTTATTGTAGATGATGATTGGCTAATGGCATCCGTTAGAAAACTTGAGTACACAAATTCTTAGAGAGTTTCATAATCGGAATGCATCTAAGCATATCCATACATTTGTGTGTCCATCTGTCCGTCTGCCCAATGGTCGCTTCCGTTCGCTAAAATGGAGCCATTGCCTACACATTTACAAAAGAATTTAAAAATTACCCAAACTTTTCAAAATACCGGCCTACAACGCCCACATTATGAATACCTATGCTTTTTGGGTTTCTTGCTTATTAATCTTAAAGTGTAACACACTTTATTCATATAACTTTCTCCACTTTCATTCTGAAAGTAGATAAATCGAGCCATACGCTTCCACATTATAGAGTATGAAAATTGCGTTCTCGGACTTTTTTTGTAATCGTGTTTAGGATAACCATGAAGGGCATAAAAAATTCGGTCAGGACCGAATATCACTTTTTTACTGTTTTAATTTACAAATATGGGATTCTTTTTACATTTTTGTGCAGTTACATCGAAATCACCCATAAAATATATAAAGATAATTACGACTTTTTCAGTTACTGAATAAACGAATAATAAGAATATTTCCGCTCTTTACAAACACTTGGCAAATTTTGTGTGTAAATTTTGCCATAGGTATGAAAGTGTTGCATCAATATTTTTCGCGGCAGTGCATCATGCACTTTCTGCTTTACGCTGGATACAGTTTAATAAAGATTTTAATGTGCCAAATATGTAAAATTTTCTGACAACTGACACATAAGGCATATGGTCTGGTTTCTTATTGAAAGTTCATTGTGTGGTAAACCAATGAAATGAATTTTCTTCCATTTTATAGTTGAATAAGAAGTTACACATTATCCTACATATACGTTGTGCATGTGTGCGTAGCCATGTACGTCCCAAGAGAATTTTTTTTATAACCTGTTCTTTAAATGTAAGGTCTATGCATCTATTCCATTAGTCGCTTGATTATTGCTAGGAAGAAAAGCATTTCTATAAACAGCAACTAGGGGAAGAAAATGCTTTGATTAGCGGCTTTATTTTAAGAAAGATCAAAAATGTAAATTAAAATATAAAAATAAACATAGAAAGGGAAAAATTAAAACCTCTGATTGTCTGGAAGCAAAATTTTCGTTTTTTTTTTCTCTCCTTTTGTTAATTAGCAAAAAAACTACTTACAAAAATTTCAAAAAAAAAATCTAGGTACTTAGGGAAAATTTGTTTGAAAAATGAAAACTCCTCTACAATACAATAATTGTGCGGAAAATTCATTAAAATGTTTTTCTATAAAGAATGAAGAAAACATTTTTGGAACTTGCGCAAAAACTTGAAGAGATGTTCCCAGTGTTTTACATAAAAAAGCAAACGAAGTGCACGCAACGCATATATATATATCGATGCATACGAATTGAAATGATGCATGCAGAAAACACATAGATTTTGAAGTCGAGAAACACGGATTCCGTATCTAGACAATTATTTTATCTATTATTCTCTAGTACGTTTGTTTTGTCCCTGCAATGATATAGAAAGCTGTATTACATACAGAATCAGGAGGAGCGTACATTCGATTTCATCAAAAGAAATTTGTAAGGAATTAATACTCATTAGTAGTTGGCAGACAATATGACGACGACTGTTCCCTTTAAGGTATGATAAAAGTTTCAAAATTGCGTGGCCGATAATTAATATTTTTTATTTTTTTTATTTTAAAATTGCAGCTATTAAGATTTCTCTTATTATCCCGCAAGCACAAGTGTTCATACATAATTACCTTAATTGAATGTCACTCTAAGCAACAAAGAACAAAACGGAGGGAGCGAGATGAAGGGGATTAAATAAAATGCCTGCGAAATTATTAGCTTTTGAAAGAAAAATGAGAAATTACTTTCAAGTAATACTTACGTATACTTTTTGACAGTTGATGTCAAATGCTTAGAGAAAAAAAATTTAGTAATTAATCCAAAAATTCTCATCTTATAAAACCAGGGCGCTGTACGCGAAGGTTATGTTGATGTTGATGATGATGATGATTATTATTATTATTGTAAAAATAAAAGAAATGGTGCACATTGGCAGAGAGCAGTAAACTACAATGGCAGAGTAAGTAAGTTAGAACTTCCTCCCTTTTCGTAATTCAGGCAGTAGCAACAACAGCAATAGCAATAGCAGCAGCAGCAGCAGCTGAAGTAAAAACAAAAGCATATAACAGCATTCCAGGCGGTAATTTAAAAGACACAACAAAAGAAAAATGTTGGTGACATTGTGTTTATGACAAGAAGAGCAGAACGAAAAATGGGGAGGTTTCTTCACACACGGAAGCTACCTTTTGTTGTTGGGCCCTTAAATTGTGAGAAAACAACCCCGCGCGTTATTAAGTCTAAAGTATGTAGATTTTTTACTGTTGCTTTAACAACCGCTCGACCAATACTGACTGCTTCTTTATTACACTGACACTATATCCTTATAGTTGCAACTTAATGATGTTTGTACACGTACAACAAACTCGAATGTACGCTATTGCGTATAATAAAATATTAATAATGTACGCAATATTCTTTACTTTCATGAAAAAAAATATTAATAATAATAATAAAAAAAAACTTTGCGGCTGAGAATTGCCTTGAGAAACTTATATTATACAGAACGGCTAAACAAATTGTTTGTTCGCAGCGATAAAACTTTCAAGCACCACCCGTCCGAATCTCACCAACTCTTATTCTTATTGTTGTTTATGTTGTACACATAGTTTTTTCTCTAATCTGCGTTCTGTTCAGACAGGATATACATACATATGCATATGTGTATGTATATGAAATATATTTGTTTTGTTTCTTTTATTGCTGCATACTGCTGTTATTTTTGTTGCTGTATACATAAACACAACTCAATGTCTGGGCTTTCATACTTTGCTTCTTTTTTTTAATAAATCTTTTTTTTCACAATCTTTAATAATTGTCTTAAAAACATCTTTTAAACGCTTCTTTCATTTCTCTAAGTTTAATGTGTATACAAGAAAAAATTTACAGTTACTTACAACTGTAATTTTCAGTTTCTTTTTTTCCACTTTTGCAGTTCAATTCATATTTGTTTTCTTATTTTTTTTTCTTTTCATCGCAATCTTAATAATATCGTCTTCGTTTATCCAACAATTCAAGTGAATAATTATCAGCCAAATTTTAATAAAATTAATGTTTTATGAGTTAGTGAATTAGTAAATTAAATAGATATTGAATTTTCCTTATTCCAGATCACGCGCGATACTTGCACATCTTCTTCGTTCAAAATTCAAAAAAACACTAAAAAAAAAATGTCACTTTTCGACTGAGCGAATTGTCTGCAAATTCGTTTTTGATTCTCTTAAATACATTACGAATGGTTTTGTTTTCTTTCGCAACTTTAATATTCTTTTCATTCTACCTGAAAGAGCAATCAGAGTAATAAAATCAATTCAATCCAAAATCAGGTCCGTTTGCATTTATATATTATTTATTACTAAATATATTAAATATTTCTTAATTAATTAATCATATGTAAAAGTATTTATTATGCGCTAATATTTCTATTTTATATATATTTACGCACAAGCTTTCGCGAGAAGAAATTTAATCTTTGAATTCAGTTAAATTACGTATATATTCACTCAAGCTCCCGGGATATTTACACATCTTTACCGTTCAAAAGACAAATAATGACAAATTGAAAAAATTGACAAAGTAATGCCAATCATTTTTTTCGTTCATTTCTTTTTATTTAGTATAAAACACAGAGATGGCAATAAAATAAGAAATGTACAGAAAAGTCAATTTTACTCTCAGAAATTTGATTTGATATTCTCAGCATTTTCTAGGGCCTGCATAAGAAATATACAGCAAAGTCAATTTTACTCTCAGAAATTGAAATTTGCGGTCTCACCATTTTTTTAGGGCCTGCATAAGTAGTGTACCGCAAAGTCAATTTTACTCTCACATGCTTCAAGAGAGACTACAAAATTTTTATGTTTATATTCATGTAAGCAGTTGAGAAAAAGTGGTGTAATTCTCTCTATTCTTACTTTATTTCTTCTCTCTTTTTCAGCAACTGTCACTTACACGCGTTAAAGGCGACCAGATTTCAAATTTGGGGCTCCGTTTCGTATAATTTTTTAAATAATTGCGTTTGCTTTTTATTGCGGTGAAGACGATGATGGTAATATGTTGGTCGTAATATATTTAAATTATTTAGCAGCATTAAGGTAATACTGGCATTATTCTTGTAAAATTTTACTTGCTCTGTTATTGCAAAAATTTGTTTCCTCAGAGAAAGAGGAAATATATGAGAATATTACTGCTGAGTACGGAATTGACTCCAATAATAAGAAAGGCATTGAATTTTTTAGCTTAAAGTTTTCTTTCGCTTACGTGCATATTGTTTATCATTGAAGCTGTCAAAAATATACGATCAGAAAAGTATACTATACGACCAGAAAAGTATACTGTACGACCAGAAAAGTATACTGTACGACCAGAAAGAAAGAATTCGTGTAAAACAAGTGTATTGGCAAACCGTGTTATTTACAAATATATACACAAATATCTAAACAAATATTTATTCGTTTAGTTTATTCATTTTAATCGAAATATTCGATTGGAAATTAAATATAATCAACGAAAATCGAATTAATTAAAAGAAACGTTGAAGATCCGACGTAGAAAAGCCAGCATTAGGGTCGTTTTCGTAACTACGATTAAAGCTGGCATTGATACGCTTCCATGCCCACTCAGTGCAAGTAAAGTCCCCATTGCCTCTACTTATCAACGCTCTTTGGCAGGGAGAGTACATGCTGAATACATGATTGCATTTTATAAGCTGCACAATGCATAGTTTAATAAGCATAGTTGTATTAAGTGGTTTTACTTAAATACAAAATAAAATTTATTATGTCATTTGTGTGTCTTTCTTCGTTCATTTCTTCTCTCTAGGGAAATATTTACCATATTTTTTCATGTTAAATGTCCTCAAATAGATGACCTTTTCTGTTCCAAGTTTCTGACTTAGCGAAAAGAGCGAAGACTATTTTTCAGTTACATGACTACTCTCTAGCCCTCACTTTCTGAAATGTAATATTTGCTATTAGGTGCCTGAGGAGAAAAATCGTTATAGATACCGCGCATAGACTTATCATACGTTTTCTCATTTAAAAGGTACAAAGCGATACTTATGTCTGAAAAAAAACAATGGCAAAAAGATTTTAAGTAATTCATAAACGCTATGTACACTCTAAACTCGATCACATCTATGTTGTCAAAGAAAGTTACATGTACTTATGAACCTGTTATATATCAATATTTGTAATGTAAATTTGATGTATATTTATGAAAATCCAGCTCGGCAACGGCTGGTAAGAGAATTACATTTTCCCTCGGTATTGTTTTATTATTACGACTACATTAAAATGTTTAATACAATTCTTTTATAGAGTTACGACAACTTTTAAGTAAATACTTCTGTGACGCACTGCCAAATATGACAATACGAAAATTTTGTAACTAAAAATATATTACTTTTCTAACTTTCCTAACATCATAATTATTATTTATTATTACATACTATTTAAAAAAATGCATATTAAAGTTGCACGTATTGAATAAACTAAGTAAATGTAGCTGTATGATGCTTGCAGTACCTTCGAAAATGTGTGGATCCGTTCGGGTTAATAAAACAACAGAACTCTTCTAAACAACGTCAAAAATAACAAGTCAAAAAATGTGGCCGTCACATATTATTTAAGTTTTTAATATCTCTGTTTTTAGACGTTAACATCCAAATGCCTTAACACCTCTGCGAAATAGCAGAAGAAATAGACACCCGAGATAAGAGTAGAACAGGTAACGATAACATACCTGATTTAGATATGTGAAGCTTATCGTTTTAATACATATATTAACTCATCAAGCTGACTTTCCACGACAACGTCGTCCAGACGAGCTTCGACGAAATTCATTCAAACGGGACGACAACATACAATAAAGAGGAGAATAAACTCGAAGAATGCGGGTACCACAACAGCAGAGTAAAGAGGAACGCTAAGAATAAAACAAGCAAACTTCTGACGACTCCGTTGCAAAAGCGTACATACTTTTGCCCAATAATCACATGTTTTTGTTCCATTCCATTGTCATGTGACATTGCATTTGTTGTCTTCACATGATATCTATAAACTTCAAAGATTTAGTTTGATAACTCACTTTAAGCAATGTTTTAAATTCAATACTGGAACAATATGTTTAAACGAAAGCATAAAGGACCAATTATAAAAATAATAAATTAGAATTATATATAAAACTATCCAAAGAAGAATTGGTTTTCCTGGCATGCTTATTTAAGGAGAATTTCAAATGAAGGGGAAAAAACGTACGTATTTACACATCTAAAAGATTGTTGTTAAAGCCGGTAAATACAAATATAAATCTAACGCAGCGGTAAGAAATTATCGCAATAATAAGAACGAATGGCGAACGTAACGAAGACACTTTACCAAACTTGAGTTCTGAGTTTTACCCCAGCTATAAATAATCGTTTCATATATTTACTTATTATATCTGTTTACCTATTTTAACAATAATTAAAAAAGTGCCCCGTGTCTAGATCAAACAGAATATTTCTTATTGTAAAAATAAAGGCGATTAATTTTGAGGCATCGGATGCGAAATATTGATGAATGAGTTTTGGCTAGTTCAAAGCAGAACATAAAATACAGGTGAACGTGTTCGAATTTTGAAAATACACACCACCAACCAATCGGGGTTTATTGGTAAAAAATATTTTAATAGTAGATGTAAGTTATTATAGTGGCAATGGAAGTCGCAAATAAAAGAGTCTTTTTACCGAGAAAGAAGGATGTCTGCATTACGTTAAGGAAGAAAGGAAGGTTTGTTAAGTAAAAGAAAAAGAGGGAAATTTTCTTAAACCAAAGAAAGGAAAAAATCCCGTGGCGGAAAATAGAGAAAGGAATACGCGTTCACGGCTATATAACGGGGAAAAAGAAATTCTCGAAGGAATCCTCTTGATAATTCATCCTCTTTTAATAATACTTCAGACGAAGGAAATACAAGATTATCTTTAAGAACAATTGTATTGGATGTCTCCAGGCTTGTAACATTTTGCTTTATTAATTGCTCAAAAGAAATCTGCTAAAAAAAAATATGTTTGATAAGATTTTTCAAATATATTGTAGATTGTGTGAATGTGTGCAAAAGCATAAATTGCCACTAGGGCTAGAATTGCAACAAGAAATGCTTTAATGATTTTCCTACGCCGGATACGTCTTTTGAAGTACAATATACGAAAAATATTTTTCACAGTTAAGGACATTTTTACCATCAGTTGTTGTTCACTTCAAATGAATGAAATGCCATTTGTCGACTGAAAAAAGAAAGATAAATACGATAAAAACCGATACAACACTCTTTATTAAAATAAGTAACTAAAAAAGCTATAGGGTACAAAATAAAAAATAAAACTATACGACCCATAAAAAGATTAAAACAAGGAAACAATAAAACTAAATAGCATGGAGTTTATAAATTAAATCAGGCTTAAGCACCAAACAGCCAAATGAAACATGAAGGTAAGCAGTAATCTTCTATAGCTTGCAGTAGTGTGTGTTTTGCAAGTAATATATCTTACCTGTATCCGATATTTCTTGGGCTATACCGCCATCAGGGGCTTCTTTATAAATGTTTCCAGCCTCTTCTGCGGATATGTGGAACGGAGACTCTGCATTAGTAGTATTTAAGCTAAAATAAAGACGATCGGAAACGCTATAGTGAAACCCGGCCCACGATTAAGTGCCCTACACCACTTTGCTTAGGACAATTATTCATATAACGATTTATCAAAATAAGTCTTTGAATGGTTGAAAAAGTGGGCCAATCCAAACCATTTTCAACAACGTCCGCCCTTGGACCAAAACACATCAAGGCACCAAAATTTTATCAAAGTATCTGAAAAATGACGAACGATAGACTACACAAGAATGCAAGGCAGACAGACATACGGGCGGCCAAGCTTAAATCGAAGGAAAAAATGATTCTGAATCGATCAGTACAATAGAAAGGTGGGTTTATCTCAAGTTCTTCTGGATGTTGCATACATACGCACACACTTAATATATCATTGTAAAACCAGTGGTATAGGGTATAATCAATACCAAAGTTCGATTCAGACGAACTTTCCGTAAATCAGCTTACCATGAAATTGTACTTCCTTCTATTTTACATTTAACTAAACCCTGCCAAAATTTATGAACTTCCGCTACCACGTCAGTGGCGAAAGCAGCATTCTTGGCGTCACCATTAAAAGCAAATTGATTTTCTGGTTTACCATCGGGTATCTTGTATATTTTAAACCATTCGACAGTGGCACGCAGCAAGCCCGGAAAATATACATCAACATCTTCAATATCGTTCAGTTTTTCAGCCAGCGGATCCTTAACATCGATTGCAATAATTTTCCAATCGGTTTCCCCTTCGTCGATTAGAGCAACTGTGCCCAAAATTTTTACTTGTATAACTTCTCCACGTTTAGCTACACGGTATCCAATTTCGAGGACATCAATCGGATCATTGTCACCTTTGCAGCCAGTCGTGGGTTCTATGTGATCAGGATTCTCCCAAGTTTGTGGAAAGGCACCATAATTCCATATGTAACCCTTATGAGGGAAGCAATTTGCTACAAAACGTAATTTGTCTTTTTTTATATCCTGCTTAATGGGATTCATTGGGCTCTGCATGTTAATCTAATAGTGACGAAAAGTTTTAAGTTAATTATAAAAATTAAAATTTTTGCTTTAGATGTATTACCTCCATTTTGGCATTCGTCCAACGTGGTATCTCCACGACCATATTATATATACCTTTCTCCTTATTGGCAAATAACGGTATATCATGCAAAGGTGAGAGGGGTTTGCCGCAAACGGATTCTAAAAAAAAAAAAGAAGAAAACATTACAGAGGAAATAAGAGGCGCACAAATTTTCATTTACCGTAAAGTCTTTACTTTTATAGCGAGCAATATTTAAACTAAATATTACCGTTTAATAGAAGATGAAAGAGTTAACTTTCCGGATTAAGCGTCAATATCAAGTCCATAATAACTTGTTAGTATCAGTTTCTTACTTTTTCGCTCTTTTCAACTTTACTATGATGAAATTTCACAGGATTTGCACGACATTTTTTAAAAACTTTCTTATCTTATCTCACAAAAATCCAACTAAATACAGGCTTGTTCTCTGCGCGCGACTTTATTCTACCATCGAAAACTATAAATAACATGTGTAGTTTCCGCTTTTAATATTCATCAATACGCTGCAGACATTCCTAGAAGACGAAGGTTGTTGTACGTTCGTCAATCCAAGAAACATTTTCAGATCGAAATACAATTAGAATGCTGAATCTTAACGTAAAAGGAGGCCTAACAACGGTGATGGTCAGAAAGAAGTGAGGAGAGCGAAAGCAAGGCACCGCAGTCCGGAAAGTTCATTGTCAACCGGTAGTCGTGATGCTTTTACCGACCGAGCAATGTAGCTACGACATACATCAGTCGTAATTAAAATATCATTTATCGCACTGAAAATTAAACCGAGGTATGCCGGCTTCATATAAAAATTTAAATGGAAACAACGTAAAATTCGCATAAAATCTGAAAAGGTGATGATGATATGCTTCCAAAAAGCTAATGTATGGAAAACTAGCAACTAAGTATTGTAAATGTACCATAATGAGAGTGTTCTTTTTCCAACAATTGCTAAAGCAATAAGGCATTGTCACGTACCTTCTTATATATATTTACATATTTTCCTACGCAATGTAATAATTTGCTCAACTACTCTTTAATAAATTGGCTAAAATATCAGTAATTAACTGCCTACATTACGTCACGTTACTTGCATTACTCAAGAGGAATTGCCAAGGACAGCTGCCATTAGGTAAAAAATTAATGTCCTGACAAACGACATTTTATTGCAGGCTATTGATTTTTTTTTGGTTACATCATGTGCTTGGCTTGAACTAAAAGCCCACTAAAAGCAAAATAACAACCGTTTTACTAATATAACATGTCTTTGCCATTACTTCCACAGGATTTATCCTGGGTATGTCAATATATTTAGCGGGCAAAAATATTTCTAAAATATGTATGTTTGACATAAGCATCGGAGCCGTTTCCATGCTTTCTTTTAAAAACCTTAATTCTTACACATCAGTTTTAATTCGATTTGTAGCAGGGAACGAGAGAAACGTTTGCATTGTCACTTTCTACAAACGCACTTGCCTTCTGCGGAGAAAAAGTCGGGAAGGACGGCAGCGTGGTTTTAAATTGTTGTTGAGAAGATTTTAACCACAATTTCACAAAATGGCCTTGAATGTAGAAAGTATCATAAGTGAAAATGAAAATCTATTTTGAAGATTTCATTGCGAAGATTTTGATATTCGATCTACCGCTGCCGGCGAATTATAACTTCATTATTGTTCTCTGGGAAAGCTGGAAATTGTAAACCAGTTTTATGTTCACTGAAAATTCATGAATTTTTCATAGGAAATTATTTACCGACTTTATAATTATTCATGATTGCCGTGGCATTCTTTTCCCTCTTGTTGAATTAAAAAAGGTTGCAAATTTATTCGATATATCATCGTAAACCTTCTCAAAGAACTTTCTACATTGGACATTATCGATTGGAAGAAAAGGTACCAAAAATGCTAATCAAATCATTAATTATTAATAAAATATTCTTTCGCAATGTGAGAAATGTGTTATTCAGTATTGGCAAGAAAAACGAAAAAATTAGTTGCTTCATAATTAAATGCTTCACAAGCACTTTATTGCTTAGTTTTTTATAAAACGTTTACACACATGCTTACTATATCTGTTCTATCAGCTAATTGTCTGCCCGCATACGTCATAAAGTCTGCTCTCCTCATTGTTATCAATATTATCGTTAAATTGCATAAGCAAACAAATGCACGTTCAGAAATCAAACACTAATTAATGGTCAATGTCAATGAAAAAAAAGGCTTTTACTTACGGAAATAAATGCTATAAGCAGTAGAGTTCGGAGTCCCCTTTTCTATAATCTCGTATATTGGCATTTTTGTTAATGTTTTTCTCAATAATCCTTGCGTAAAGCACAAATTTTTAATCGCGGTTGTTGTCAAGTTAAGTTTTATTATAGAATTTGCTGACGACGGTATAATTCCAAAAGCCGGTTTACAAGAAGACACGCGAAACCTTCTCGACTGTATATTTGTCAATAAAAAACTTTTACTCACTTTGGCCATAACAAAAAAACAATTTCCAACAACAATTTTCAATAAACCATTATATACAGTTGTATTCTTCTGGCAAACACGTTCTCCTATGCTGCAAATAAATTATGGCAAAACCAGCGTCAACACTGATGCAATGTGAACAGTCGAGAATGTGAATTCACAATAATCTTTTTAATTCGCTTCTGTCTTATGTACTTTTCGATTTTCTCGAGGTTTTTTAATTCTTATAACCTGTAATAAAGTGTTTTATACCTTCTCTAACTGAGCCTTTTAAATTTATATATATATTTATTAAACATATATTTGTTTCTTTACTACTGTATTCACCGATATTCTCATTATGGCACTCTTTTGCTCTCATTTAATACATTAACAACATTACTATATACGAAAGTTATAAAAATTATAATTTTTAAATAAATATTTTTTTACAAATAGATTTTTTTCATTTTGGACACATGAGAAAATGGTGTGTCGGCAGAACCCAGAATTAAAAAATTGAAATTATTACATTGCGAAAATTTACTGGCGACTTAGTGTAAGTTTTTTCGGTCTAAGTTTTTTTGGTGTACGTTTTTTTGGTCAAGTTTTTTTGGTATAGGTTTTTTTGGTATAAGTTTTTTTGGCGTAAGTCTTTCTTTGTGTAAGTTTTTTTTGTGCAAGTTTTTTTGGTGTAAGTTTTCTTGGTTAAAATGTATTTCTCTGACCATGCTGGCAAATTATCTGAAATTCCGTTTTCTGTTTTTTCTGTTTTTCTTGCGTTCATTTTGTATTAAGGTGACCACAATCGAATTTTTAAATATGAATAACTTTTTAAATTTTTTACAAATTAAACTATTGATAATTTTTATTGTAGTTTTCGACAAATTCACTAAAAACAAAGCAAAAGAATCGTACGTGTGAAAGCCTTAAGTTAACCATAAATATCGCGGTCACTTTAAACGCTGCATGTAATGGGAAATTGTTAGCAAAGCGTTTAAGTAAACGAGTTCTAGCAAAAGGGTTATAACCAATTTATAATTAACACAATTTAATTTTATTTATTTATATTAGTTTATCATATTCTTAAGCAAAGAAAACTACATGTTACTAAATAAATTTCCTTTTTTTATTTTAGTAAAATCAACGCAAATACAATGAGTTTTTAATAATATAAGTTTGTAGAACTATAGAGTTTATAAACTTATACAATTTTTAATTTTAATTTAAGTTGGGTCGATCTCCCAACAATGTAGAAACAGTAAGTATTGTATTTTTCATTTCAAAATTTTTATTGTTCTTCTCCTTATTCCTAGTTAGAAGAGCGCAATTATATGGATGTCAAGGATATCAACAATAGAGTGTTATTGCCGTCTTTCCAGTTTAGTAACGACGAGAACAGCAAGGTTTTTAAGTGTTTAACTGTTTTTTCAAAGAAAGAAAGAACTTTCAAATCTGCCTATTAGTCTGCTGCATTTAAAAGCATTATTATAGGTCCGAGAAGATATTCATACCCTTACCCTCAGTATTTTCACAGGGTTGAAGAAATACGATGATATTATTCAGCATACTAAAGTCATATAAACTGATTTCAAGATTTGGAATATTTTTGGCACCCAAATCAAAAGCATTTTTAAAAACCTAGTTCTTAACTACCGTTGGATCAGCGGGTAAGCAGCTCACCCGACACCATTGCCGGCCATCCTCGATTCTTTATTGTTTTCAGTAACATGAAATAATAATTTCAAAGACATTTTCATCTACAATAATCGATTCAGACGCAGTCTCAATAAGTAGATAGGCTGCTTTGTTTTAGCTGTTATGGATACTATCTCGGGGAACATTTACCAAAAAGTCAGAAGTAAAACAAGGAAAAATTCTTTATTATATATTTTTAAAAATGAGTTTACGAGATTGTAAATTAAAACAATAGTATAATTTTTCACTTGAAAATGAAATCACTAAAGATTTATATCAATTATTATTTTTTCTTTTAGTTTTATTCCTTTACACTGAAATAGGCGAATTTTTCTTTTTTTCCGCTAATACAGAAAAAGACACATCAGAGAAATGTTCAGCAGCCGTTTACTTAAATATGTTGCGTTAATTGCCATTGGAGAATTTACTAAAGTTATTAAATATTAAGAAAATACAAAGTTATTTATTTATATAGTTATTAAATGTATTTGTGATATATATGTATATTTTGTTTCGCCATTTAAAACTTTGCCTTTTTATGAGTAATATTCGCTGTGACTTGTGTTTCTTATGAATGAGTTTTTATGAGTAAGTTTGATAAAGTGTCAATGTTGAGAGCTGCCAAATTCAGAAGATAAACTATTGCAAATACAGCGACGTATGTTTTTTAGGAAAAGTAGTTTGCAATATATATTGAGAAATGAAAGTGAATTTTTGATTGTTTTTACTTAAACTCTTACCCAAACAAACCAATTTTAAAATTGCTTCCTGGGTATTAAAAGTATTTATTTTTATAAATCTTAGCACGTAAAAAATTGAAAATTGACAACTCTATCAGATAACAGCAGAGCAAAAAGTACGAATAAGAAAAAGAAATTCCATGCTGACAAGTGAAGGGTTTTCATTACTAATAATTCCAAGATTATTGAATTTTAGTTTAAAAACAAGTTAAAATTTTGTACAATTTCGCATTCGTTCAGAAATTTATTGATTTGCGGAAGCGCATCAGTTCGGGATTATATAGTTTGAGTACATAGCTCTGACGGAAGCACACTTGACGAATAACGGAATCGGAATCCATATTAAAAGTATATCATCCTGCGTATTTTCAAACAGGTCAACCACAACAATGAATAATAGCAATCAAATTACTCGAGGTGATGTCAAAAACAGCAATTCCTCTCAGTTACTGGGATCTGTTACCACCGATGATAACGCCTGTGTGGTGTGTTTTAAGAACGTGGATATCTATTCTATCGGTGAGTGTGATCATCCAGTGTGTTACGAATGCTCGACACGTATGCGTGTATTGTGTCAGCAAAATGAGTGTCCAATATGTCGACAAGTTTTATCCAAGGTCAGTGATCAATGCATATTATAGTTGAAAAAGTTATTAAAATATTGGTTGTGTTCTTAGGTCATATTTACTTATGACAAATTGCCTTATCGAGAGTTGGAAGCTAAAAATAGGTCCGAATATTACAGTAAAAAGTATAAAATCGGTTTCTATACTTGTGAGATTCAACAAAAATTTTTCGAATTGCTAGACCATCCTTGTCCAAAGTGAGTTTATTTGTTCCTAATTACTTGACAGCGCTGGAGAACTTTTACTAAATTCTTTTTGATTCTGCTTTAATCAGATGTAATGTTCCACCTTATCGAACTTTTCAAGGCCTGCGTAATCATGTACGGAAAGAGCATGATTTATATTTTTGTGACATTTGCGTGGAACATTTAAAAATATTTACCTTCGAGCGGCGCTGCTACACTCATGCTGAACTAGATATGCATCGCATTAAAGGCGACACAGATAATCGCTCACATCGCGGCCATCCGTTATGCGAATACTGTAACAAACGTTATTTAGACCGGGATGAACTCTTCCGTCATTTGCGTCGTGAGCACTATTTTTGTCATTTTTGTGATGCTGACGGCTGCAATGAATTCTATCGCGATTATACTGCTCTGGCTGTACATTTTCGTCAAGACCATTATTTGTGTGAAGAAGGTAAATGCGCTACCGAAGAGTTTACTGGGGCCTTTCGCAGTGAAATCGATTATAAGGCTCATGTTGCTAACGTGCACGGTAAATCAATGAATAAGCAGCAAGCCAAGCAAACACGTACCTTACAATTGGAAATTACACTGGGACCACGCAGCTCAGGACGATCAGGTCAAATGGAACAAAATGTGGCAAACATGAAATCAAGAGGGTATATAAAAACAATGGGTTCTACTTCATAACGTATTTAATTAAATTATAAATTTTTAAACTATTAGAAACAATGGCGCAGTTAGTCATGAATCTGAAACAACTCTAATACATCACAATAACAGCCAACAACAGCAGCGTATTGATCCTTGTAATGAAGAAGAATTTCCCTCATTAGCTGGGGCGAGTAGTGCTTCTAACGTGTCCTTAACACGCCCACCGCCGCCTTCAATGTTTAACCGTAGTCGCATGTCTGGTTTGGCAAGAACAAAAGAAAACTTCCCTGCTTTATGTGGCAATGCCAGCAATGCAGCTCGCACGCAGCAAAACACTCTTCCCATATCGTCAATGTTAAGAAAACAACCCACGCCTGCCACTGGGGCTATACCACGAACTACTACTCCCACAAATGTACCTTCAACCAACAATAATGGTAGCAGCATGGTTATTCATGTATCTAATCGTCCCAATATCACAGCTGCAAGTACAAACAAGAAACCCTTCACTATAGATTTTCCAGCCTTACCTAGTGGAAAAATGAAAAAGCAAACAGGCGGCGCTAAGCCACTAGTGGATGAAGATGTAGCTATTCCTGGAGTTCAAGTCCCAACGGGCGTAGTATCGGCTAAACATCGTACCTTAATGGATGGCTATGTTTCTGTGGCCAATCCAACTAATTTCCAAAAAATTCAAATGGTCCAAAAGGACGACTTGGACAGCAACGCTCGTAAAGAACTTGAAGCTAAAAATGTTCCGAAGCTAACCAATCAAGATTTTCCATCTTTAAGTGGCACAACATCAGTTCAATTAACTCAATCAGCTACCTGGGTGAAAGCAGCTTTCAATGATAAAAGGCAAAAGGATGTGGAAAATCGCAAAAATAAGATTGCTGCTGCTCCCATTTTACAAAAAAGCCTAAGCAATACAAGTCAAAACATATTAATAGACAATAATGGAAAAAAGGAGAAGAAATCCAAAGAGAAGAAAACGAAAGAACGCAACAATAACAATGAAAATAAAAATATAAATAACATTAATTTAGCTAATGGGGAAAAATTAAATACGAATCAAACGGCTTTACGACTACCGCCTGGGTTTGGGAATCAAAATGAATCAATTAAACCGCCGCCAGGATTCCAGGGGAATGTAATCGTAAATTCCGTGGCCAAATCGCCAAATAATCTTACATTTACCAGCTCGTTGGGTGAAAGTTATAGTATTTTAGCTACTCATAGTTATACACCACCACCAGAGGCCTTACAGCGTAATCAGGTAAATAGTAATATGTTTGAAAACAACGACTGACATATATTAGGCATTTCAAATGTTTGTAACGCGCAGCGAGACATCCTGGCCTATTTATAATAAAAATGCATTCTCGGAACTGTCAAATCACATTAATGTACGGCATTTGAAATCTGGTTTTTATTCAATTTCTGATATATCTTCAAACGTAAAACCACGCTTTGCTACCGATAATTACTCTAGGGTAGAAATTCGAATATAAAGCGCAAGAAAGCAAGACTTGTTGAAAATACCATATTTTAGGAGCATTTTGTTAGACCTAAATTTAAGGACAATTTTTTCAGGCTTAGGTTAGGTATAACTTTATTAGTATTAAGAGAAATTTTATACAAACCACTGACCTGTTGCATTGCAAGTGACGATAATGTGTTCATTGCGTAGACAAGCAAAAGAATACTGAACTGTGTTAAGGCTTTATCGAAACGTCTTAGTTAATGAAAAGTTAAGTGACGATTAGTGAAAGTATTAAAATTAGGTTACGGCAATTGAAATATATAATAGGTAAGGCCGACCAAAGTGTGCATGAATCTATCAAAGATCACCCAAAATCTGGATTGAAATGAATGGAAATGGAATAAAATATCTTTGACACATCAATTTATCGCACTTTACCCAAGCCCTTGCTATCCTTTTTTCCATGAATTGTGCGTGGGATTGTAATAGTCAGGTTCATCTTCAAATACTCCTGATGTGAAGGTCACCTAATGCAACAGACGCGCAATTCAAAAAGCCTGCGATAAGTGACATTCCTACAAAAGTACTATTTTTAAAAAGCCCTCTGTCTTTCAAACATCTTCCATTCGGTTAGAATTTCCAATCACCGAGAAAGGATGTTTGTTCTCAATAAAATAAAATCTAAAACTAGAAAGGTATTAGATTAATTAATGCATTTATAAAATGTACATCAATTTCTGCTATCACTCGTGCTGATGTTTGCCTATAAGTCAAATTTAAAATAAGTAAAAGCACTATTATGAGCTACGACTAACCATTAAATATGGTACACTACTATGAGAACTTTTCAAAATTATGCGTTATAAGGAAGATGGTCGAAAAAGAGGTCCGATCCGAACCATTTTCAAAAGGGCACTTCCTTGTACCAAAACATATCAGTGCACAAAATTTCATCAAAATATCTAAAAAATTGTGACCTGCAGGTTGAGCACAAAAAACAAGACAGAGAGACTGACGGACAGATGAGCTTAGATCGATTCAGAAAATGTGTCTATCTCAACTGCTTCTGGGTGTTGCACAAATCTACACAAGCATAAACCCTTGTACCATAAGTGGTGTAGTGTACAACAATGTAATCCATTGGTTGTAGATTCCAATTTGGTAACATTAACCACCTGGCTAGCTAAAAAATCTAGCTCAATGTGGTTCTACCCAGGCACAATGGGCAGAGTGCAGAAGGAAAAGAATGTACATGGCGAAGTATAAAGTCGCAAAGTTACACCGACGGGCGTTGCACCAACTCCACGATGAGAATGCCCATCAGAAGATATCTCTGAAGTGCCTGACCTGGAATTTGGGTTTTGATTTTGTCTCGGACACATATTTCATTCCAATGTTAGTTGTGAACCTACAAGGTGCTCTATCTACATACTACTGAAAAAAACAAAAACGTTATAATAAATGTTTTTATTGATCGAACATTTACAATAGTTTGCCCAGGACTCAGTACCATCTGACGATAAAAGGGATGGGAAGCGGCGGTGAGTTAACCGAAAGTTTGTCTCGTTACGAGAGACATAAAAGGAATAGGTACCCATACCGCTCGAAAGTACTTCATCTTATCGCCTTCATCTCAAGAGACAGACGAGCGGACGAAGCGACACATAACTCCGTGTCCAGTTACTTACAAACCACATAATCTACAAAATCAGACGGACGAAAACCGAAGCAAAAATCTTGAAACGACATACATCTTAGGGAGTCTGTTATGGATTGGGAAGAATTACTAGTGCCCAGGTCAAACGCATGTATGCCTTGTGTGTATCTGTGAGCGGCAGATATTCGACAAATATTACCCAATTAAATATAAAAAAAATGCATTTTTTTCGTTTTCCATAGAAATTAGTTGGATATTTTAAGGAAACTCTAAAAACACCTGAAGCTTTAGAGGAATTCCGGCATATTTCTCAGAAGTTTCGTGAAGGTACTTATAAAACTCAAGCTTATTACGAACACTGTCAAGCAGCTTTAAAAGATAAATTCGATAACGTATTTCCCGAACTTTTGGTTTTACTACCGGACATCAGTAAGCAACAGGTAACCTTGAAAAAAAATGAAAAAAAAAAATGTAAATCTAAATTTAAATTTATTGATAAACAACATTTTCATAAAGGCTTTGTACTTGGTGCACAAACAACAATTAAACACCTTATCACCAGTACAATGTAAAGCACTGCCTAAATTACACGTTTGCGTCACTTGCAAGCAAGTGCTGTCGCATAATGATTTGGATATTCATCGTAAAATGCATGAACTTAAAGAAAATTTCCCTCAATTGAACGGTAGCCTCAAAAAGTCACATGCTGCCGCTGTTGCTGCTGCTACCGCCACCAAAACACAGTGAAAAATCGAAATGCAAAAAAAAATCCTCTCTTTTTAAATCAAACAATTATCTTTTTTTTTTTTAATAATTTCAAAATTTTTTATTTGCATCCTTAAAAAAATAACAAGACAAAAAAAAAAGAAAAAGGGAAAACCGAGCAACATCAACAAAAGAATAGAAAACCATTTCAGAAAAATAATAATCGTAAATATGTAATAGTTTGTTGAAAAAGTGATTTAAACCAAAGTTTAATTTGAAAATCCATATTCATAAACTTTATAAATAAAAAAAATACTTGAAAAACAAAAACCAAACAACCGAACTTGCCTCCACAAACCTGTGAAGATATTTTAATTTATTTATTTTTCTTTTCTTTTTTTTTTTTCCAAACACTTTTTTCTTCTCAAGTGTTTTTCTGTATAAAATGTTCTCTTATGTTGTAAATTCTTCTTAACGTAACAAATACAAATACACATAACTAGAAAAAACTACTTTCACATTTATGCTTAACTATATGTGTAATAGAAATTTCTAAACAAAATATTCTTAAATAATTTATAAAAAATAAATTCGTATTTTACCGTTTACTATAAAACATTTTATTTATTTTTTTTTCAAAATATATATAATAAAAACGAGATTTAGGAAACAAACAAGAACGATTGCGTACAAGTTGAAGTATAATTTTGAGCTTTTTAAGCCTCCATCGGAAACGGCCTTTAGTCGCTGAGAGATCAAAATATCTTGCAAGCTGACGAATTGGCTTACACTTATACTAAAGTGGCTTCAGACAAGTGAGAAAATCTTACTTGATTGTGACCGAATCTTTTACACGTTGTACTAAGAAAGAGGGAAGAGCTTTTCTTTTTCTTATTCTATAATGTTTGGTGGGCGCGATTGGTTTTTCTATTTTCAGACTAAAAGTGGAAATTTGTATGGTGTATGTGCTGTTCTTTATGAGTAGCAAGTAAAAAACACGGACAGTAAAGTTTTGTAGGCGCTTTCCTTGATCGGCTTAGGTAATTTTCAAATTCTTTTGCAAATTTGTAGCCGATAGCTTCATTAAATGGTTGGGCAGACTGACGTGCTTAGATGCATTCCGAATATGAAAATGGCCAAGAATTTATATACTTTATTGAAAAGTAATTGAATTTTTAGTATTGGGTAGGCAATTTTTTTCATTTTTCTACAGTCACTACATTGCCCCTATAATATATCTACTTTAGTTTATGAGTGATGAGCAAAAAACCGAATTAATTTTTTCTCTTAGGTTGGACGGTACTGTAGGCATGTTCGATTTAGACACTTTTTTGCGAAAGACCTCCCAATGTTCAATTTTCCGGCCGGGAGATTGTTTACAACAGATGGCCTTGCTTGCAATATATATATTTTGGTTTGGTTTAAAAAAAAAAAAAACTTATTCTTCCGCTTCTTTTTACAAAGAAAGTCATGTATCTCTCGGTGGCCTAATCCATTCAATATCAGCATACAAAAACAAATTTTTTCTTGAAATTTTCGGAAGACGAAAATTCTTTTTCATTATTTGGGATTTAAAAAGTTCGCCACGTACTCCACAATACGATAAAAATATAGAAAAGAAGAATAGAAAAAGCGAAATTGAATTTGGAAACAACTAAGAGTAATACATGGGTTGTATATGTTAGACAATTTGATGGGATTTTAACAAAGACAAAAACGACAGATGGACTATATTTTTATTTATTTTGTAAAATTTCTTGCGATTTTATTTCCATAGCTATTTAAAGTTAAACAAAAGTGAAATTCAGTAAGAATTTGCTTAAAAAAGGAAGCAAATAATTTTTAATAATCCAAACGAATTATTTATTCTCCTACATATGTAGAGGAAAATCACTACAACAAGATGGTGGATGACTACACTCAGAGCGATCATTGTTGCCGTTCTTCTTAAATAGACAACAAACATAACTATAGAGGGCGCAGTACAAGATCCATTCACAGTAGGAGAATTTTTAACATTCACAAAAGACAAATAACTTTGCTTTCAAATGAACACATTAAAAATAAATGGGTTTTTAATTTCGTTGCTTAACAAATAGAAGTCAAATTTTAATGAATGAAAAATTTCAATGAAAATAACAAATCAGTCTAAAAATCCCAAATGAACAAATCGACAATCCTTTATCGAAAAGCATTCATTCATTCCCGCCGTATTCATCAATTTTAAATATCTCACAAAATGTTAACAAGGTTTCACTTAACTAAGACTAGAACACACAGTTAAAAAAGGTATGAAAGAAAAAAGAATTCAATCATTTAAAAGTATATAATGGGAAAGAAAAAAGAATTCAATCATTTAAAAGTATATAATGGGAAAGCCCGTAAGCTAACAGGTCGGTTGTTAAGTTCTTAGATGAAACTGATACGATTATAAAAATAGATAATCAAAAGCATATTTTGATATATTGTGCAAAGATATAGCAATAGTGTTGGTAGACAGGCGCATGATTAATTTAAACCACCCGGCTAAGTGAATCTCCAAGTTCATGCTGATCAAGAATGTAGATCTATTTGGAGTACGGAATGCAAGAATCAGTTGTTTATGTTTTTCAACGGGAGTTGGCACAAGAACGAACGTTATTGAAAATGGTTAGGATCGAGGCACATTTTCGACTTCTTTCCCTATAATGCCCTATTTTGAAAAGTCTTTAATTGAATAATTATAGGGTATTTAATATTTCACTTTAACTCACTATAGTTTTTTTATTTGCTTTTTTGATGTGTGCATTCGAAAGCAAGGAAGTTGTTTAACAATTGCCAACAGCACACTATTTTCTTTTGTGAATGGTAAATACGCTCCTATTGTGAATGGATATTGTAATGCGCCCTCTACATTCATTCTTGTGTTAGGTTTATTTAAGAAGAACGGCAACAATGATCATTCTGAGTGTAGTCATCCACCATCTTGTTGTGGAAATTTTTCTCTGCATAGAAGAATAATTTGTTTGGATTATTAAGTTGCTTTTTGAGGAAATTTTTACTGAAGTTCACTTTTTTTTTAACTTTAAATAATTATGGAGGCGAAAACTCAAGAAATTTTGCAAAACGAATTAAAAGTAAAACGCATATGTCGTTTTTGCCTTTGCCAAAATACCACTAAATTATCAAACATATATATGCGCGACACGCGTATAAAGACATCGGCTCCTTTACCAATACAAATAATGGCCATTGCATCCATTGAGGTAAGTTATTTAAAAGAAACCATTTAATCAAGTTCTACAGTTTCTATTATCAGTTTATTGTTAAATTAGGTTGGACGTCATGCTTAGCCAATACAAATTTTATTTTATATATATTCTGTAGTTAGTTTTTGTGGTCTTACGGTTCTTATATAGACTAACATATACTTTATTAGGGATTTAATATAAAATTTCTTCATTTCTTTCCAGGTTTTTACGAATGACGGTATGCCTTCGTATATTTGCACGTACTGTACTCAATATTTTGAGTATAGCTATCAATTCAAACAAATGTGCAAAAAGGCGGACAATTTGTTGCGTCAGGTTCCATTCACAGGAAAATGGCCAGCAGAGTTGGAGAAACCCACTGTTCCGGGAAATGAGGTTAGCGTTGCAGTAGAAAGAAAACTTAATTTATCGGTACATGAAAATGTTAAGAAATCGAACCAAACTCAGCTTAGGGTTCAGTCAGTTCGAATGACAAAACCGGCAAGTGGCGGAGGTGGTCAACCAAGACTTCAAGAATCGAATGCTTCGTTTAATGCCGTGCCAAAAAAAATTTTAAATGCAGATCCTGCTGCTGTTCCAGTACCGCCGACTCCAGTGCGCACTAAAGTGGAAGCAATTGATGACGAAGCTACGGCCAACTTTCTTAATAAAATTGAAAATGATGATGATTTGTTCATAGATGATGTGCAACGTTTAATTGCCTCGGAAGAGGTGGAGGAGACAGAATTTGTTAACATGAATTCCTTGCCTGTACTGGTGGTTGATACCACAAGCACCAATATTAAGCCAAAATTGTTAAATAAGTCTTCAGTGCGCATTTTAAATAAAGAAGCAGCTAAAGAGCTAGAACCACGGTTAAGTTTGCCAAAGGTTAAACAAGATGAAGACGGTAATGTGGAAATCGTGGCGGAAATTTTGAATGCGGACGAACCATACGAAAATGAACCGGATCCCATGGATGCTGCTCCAATTCAAGTAAACGTGTTTCCCTGTTCTTTCTGCGAACGTTCATTTCCATTGCGTCAACTGCGAGACATACATATTAAAAATCATAGTCGTGAACGAAATTATTTATGTAATGAATGCAACAAAAGTTTCTTTACCAAATATGACTTGCAAAAGCATGTCTTAACGCACAAAGAAGATAAACCGTTCAAGTGTTCTGCCTGCGATAAAAGTTTTACACGCAGTACTTTGTTATATCGTCACGAGCGTTCGCATACCGATATGCCTAAATATATATGCGTGCATTGTGAAAAACCCTTTTTATCGTCTGAAGATTTAGAGAAGCATGTCGCTCGACACAACAAAAATCGTCCGTTCAAATGCAAACTATGCCACAAAGCTTTTGCTTTCAAGCAGGGCTTAGAACGGCACGAGGTAGTTCATTCACGTCAGCAACCATTTCCTTGTCAGTACTGTAATCAAAGCTTTTCCACTACGAGCAAACTAGCCCGACATCTTACTGCTCATGCCGGCGAACGTCCTTATCCTTGCAAGTTCTGCTCGAAATCATATCTGTTATCACATCATCTGACACGTCACATGCGCTCCCACAAAAATGCTCGCCATTCGGCGATGGATTTTAAATGCAACTCTTGCACCGAAACTTTTGATTCTCGCGAAGCTCTTATCGTTCACTCAGCCAATCATGCTAAGGACGAAAGTTTGTCTTGCCCGTTGTGCAAAGAAAGCTTCGACAACTTTGATATTGTTACAGCTCATATCAAGGAACACTCGGGCGGTGAAGCATACGCATGTGAATTTTGCGATTTAATCTTCTTATCAGCCGATAAACTACATACCCACACTCAACGTAGCCATAACGAAGAAATGATGGTCTATAATGAGAATGATAAAGCTCAGGCAGCAAAGCACGAACAAAAGAAATCGGAAAGGAGTAGCAGTGACGGAAACGAAGATTTACAAAAAACCGTAAATGCATTTTTCATTGAAGAAGTGGACGAGAACGCGAGAAAAGACAAAATTGATATTAACATTAAGACGGAGCCAAGCGGTAAGCTATAATGAAATTAACTAATCATTATTTTATTAAATAATAAACGAATTTTGATGTTTTCTAAATCTTTAGATTCGCCAAAAATTATTAATCAAGTCATTATATCAAAAGACGTAAGCGAAATTCCTACCGTTTCTCATAACGACGATAACGATGATGACGATGACGATGATGATGATGATGATGATGATGGTGATGATGATGATGATGTTGATGATGATGATGACAACCAACTGGAAACCAGTCTCTTAGTACCAGTAAAATTGCGTAAGTTAGAGGCAGTTCCAACAGAAGTAACGAAGGTTGCTGATAACGCTCTGGTGCTAAGATCATCTCCTGGTCGACGCAAAATACCCAACGTTAATGATAATAATAATATCAATGAAATGAAGCAAACTCAAGTGGGACGGTTGAAATTATCAAAAGATATAACAGTACGCAAAACCAATCCAGCCAAGCAAAATTCCAATGAAGTGAGTTCTTCGCATCAGATGTCTTTCCTTCAAAAGAACAGTCAACGTTCTTCTGCAGTATCAACGTCAGTGGCTATGAAAAATGTGAAGAGTACTAATGATATCCCAAGTAACAATAATAAGAAATTGTGTACTATGGCAATCGGCGGAAAGACGGTAAAGGCACAGAGGATCACCGTAACGAAAGCTGAAGCGGCTGCCTTGGATCGTGAAGGACGAATTAGCTATAGGAATGGGAATATGATATTAAGAGGCCAACAGTCAAAGAAGAAGAACAAATGAGATTTTGGTTACATGTTCAGTATATTTTCGAATTGAACTTTCAAGAATTTATTAAAAATAAAGAAAAATTTCAAAAACATTTTTCTTTTTCGTATTCATTGCAAAATTATGTAAGGATTAGCAACGTATACCAATTATTATTGGAAACCTTTTGAAGTATATAAGGGCATAACAATATAATTAAGCCCCTGTATTTGTTTATTGTTCTTCATTTTGGCGAAATCATATTTCCGGACTTTCAAAATTCACCTTTTAATTTTTCCTTAACCGCCTTAATTATTAAAAAACTAATAAGATTCCCTTCAAAATTGCAAAGCTCTTAATCCAAGACTTTAAGAAAAAAATACATTTAAATGCATGAACTGCTCGATGCGTTCGGTAGTGGATTATGCCCGCGCTTACATTCCGTTGTTAGCGAAAGCAACGTAAAAATCTTCATAAGTTGCATATATTTTGAATCATTAAGAGATTAGGAATTGATTGATGACGTGATGCGATAAAGCATCAATATATCCATTAAATAGATCTGCATTCCACCTGCGTTCGGCTCTAGTTGATTATAAGGTCACTATCTTCAGAATTCTTAAACAGTAGAAAGCAAGTAAGAATGCCATAGTCGAGCAAAGCTCGTAATAATACGGTGTTCATGACAGCCCTTATAGTGGAGGCTACGCAAATTCTGTCACAAAGGACAAATTATGTTTTGTCCCCATTAAAATACTTGCGTTCGTCAGAGCCGAAATATATGCCGCGTTGTAAAAAGTAGATCTATGAGATCCAAATTCTCTATTTGTTGGTTTTCGCCATAAAATATAGTATTGAAAATTAGACGTTTAAAGCATATCAAGCGTTACTTTTCACAAGAATCTTCATATGGATTCGCATTTAAAAAATGGATCTACTTGGTCCACATTCGGTGAGATTAACTTTTATATCAAATTATTATTGTGAACGAATTTTCTTCAAGAAATATTGAAAATTAAGCCTTTTTGCCGTGTACAGATCCAGTTTCCGTAGGAACGTTCATAGGTCAAGAGACTCCAAAAATTTCCCCATCCGATCCAAAGCTTCCACACTAATTTAAAATCTAAAAATTACAAGTACATTGTTTCTTCTTTTAACGACTAATCCAAATCAAAACGTTACATGGGAAGGGGATGAAAATGCGCCGATCCAAACCATTCCGACGTACCTCCTTGTGCCGAAACACATCAATGTACCAAATTTCATCAAAATATCCTTAAAATTTCGGCGTGTACGCAGCATGCAAGAAAACAAGGCAGACAGAGGGACAGACAAGCTCCGCATAATTTTCTGAATCGATCGATATAGTAAAAGTTGCCTCTATCTAAAGTCTTACGTTTTTGAGTACCTGGAATTCTCGTAATAGCATCCATTCATTTGTATCCCACCGTTCGTAGCTTCCCACGTATTCCAAAATATATCAAATCGTCTTCACTTAACAACACTGACCGCAATATTAAGCTTAACGTTTCATTGGATTGTTTCTTTGAAGTCTCTTCTCCAAGTTCTTCACCAACACTTTCATCCAAAAGATTTCAAAAACGTCACAACTTCCCTATCCCTGGTGGATAATCGAATTCAATCGAGCCGCTGCCACACTTGGACCCGCCGTCAATAAATGTAAAAGATCTCTTCATATCTCTTGAACTTTAAAGCTTTGGTTGACGTACTGCAGGCGTCCAAGCAACATTTCCTAGGATAGGCAGGCAAACACTACTAACTTTAATTTTAAAAGAACATAAAAAGAATGAAAAGCGGCTATAAGAAAAACGAAAAGAAAACGTCGGACGCTTGTCGCAAATACTAAAAAACTTAATATATCCCGTGCAACAAGTCGTGCATAGAAGTATATAAGAAGTCTGTTTGTTCCCACTGTGATCACTGCTGCAATAAACGCAAAAAAGAAAGTGACGTAAAATGATTGCATTCTCCAACGATTGAATAATAATATATTGAAGCTAGATTAACGAAAGTGGACCAGAAGATTAAGTGAATCGATCATTGTACGGCGGAATTCTTCGTTGGTTGCTGTGTCGTAACAAAAATTCATATAATTAACTTCTCATAATGATATGTCAAGTACGTCTTACAATAGATTACCACGCAACAAAGAATGAACTGATAAAACCTCTATTAAGCCACTTGTAAGCTTGAAATGCTAAAATGTTATCTTTCTATACCTCTTATGCAATGGATGGATGTTCTACACAACTGTGTTTTCTTTTCATTGGTTTAAAGAAATTTTGTACACCAAAGAGTGTAATGTTTACTCAACATTGTTTATTTGAAATACTTGGCCTTAAAAACTTGGTCTAAAAAACTCGGCCTATTTCTTTTGGGTGGACTTTTTCTAAATGTATGCAAAGAAATTATAGGAAGAAAAGGAAACAATTTTGTTTTTTTTTTTTTTTGCGAAATTATATTCGCGCGGATAGAATTGCTAATGAGAATGACGTATTTGCATTAAAATATGAACAATGTAAACAATTCCATGATTACGTAAAATTCAGGATTTTAAACTATCTTTACAAACTTGCTCGGTCACAAGTGCCAATTCTTTTAATCAAACGAGTCCAGTGTTCTGAGACAAGTACGAACCTTTTTATATAAATTCCGTATATTGGATGAAAGGTCGTTACTTATCCGCTCGGCATCGAAATCCTTTCCTGACTCTGAAAATGTTTTTAAAAGAAAATATGCCTCGTACTTGAAAGCCTGAGTTCGTCCGCTACCGTCAGTTGACGATTACAAAGGTTGATGATAGAGCAAGATGATTATTTTATTAGTCTTTAGTTCTTTGTAAGCGCATGATTTAGATTGCTTTTAACTATGCATGTTTGCCTGTAGCTTATAAATATCATATAAAAAAAAAGAACCAATAAGAAATTTATTTTCGGCGGGGACCGAATCTCACATACCCACCATTATGTTTTTCGCATTCTACTCTCCATGTTTCTTTTACTTGATACCCTTATCGCTGGTATTATTAAGAAAAAATTAATCGCGGCGTCTACCATATTCATTTTAAAATTAGCCCAATTTTAAGCAGGTAATATATCTTCCTTTAAGGAGTCTACAAAATAGTTTTAAACATTCTCTCGTTTGCCTTATGTATGTCCATTAGGACCTGAAAAGTAAAGTATGTCGTAAAGCAAATGTGGAAAATTTGAAACTTCTAACTTTAATAATTTGTCAGGAACGAGCAAAAATCCAAAAATATTTATTAGAAAAAACTGAGTTGCGTTCAGTTTACGCTCCATTGTGCGCTTCTGCTCTAAACAATTTGGGCCATTTTCAGTATCAACCTGCGTGCGAAAACTTTCAATGTTTCTACCAAACTTGAAGTTGATATCTTCATTTTCGCGCTCAATAGAGTGCTATAACACACAGCCCACAGACGGACAGACAACGCTAAATCAACTCGCGATTTCACGTTTCCATTTGCGTGTTACAGATATTGTGGTAAAAAAATAAAACGAGTATACCCCCATCATACAGTGGTGGGCATAAAAAAGGACTTTAATATATCCCATATTGTATGTAGGGATAGCCGTTAAACAAATTCAAGATTCGTTGTAATTTTGAAATTCAATTTTATTTATTAATTAAATATATTTTCATATCTTAAAAAAAGGAAAAAAAAAAAAAAAAACTTTTTCTAATCTTTAAATGGCAACCATTATTGGAAGGCAATTAGGAAATATGTTATACAAAAATCTTAAATGAGTACTAAAAATAAAATCCTTAGAAGAATATATTGAAAGTAAAATATTAGCGAAAGTATGGAGTTTTCAGAAAAACTTTATGGTCTTTTTTTTTTCATTTTTTTGTTTTTTTCATTCAATGTAAAATAATTGAATTGAATTAAATCGATTACTTTTCTATTTTCTTTTACTAAAGATATGATTGATATTATGATAAGTAAGTAAGTTAAAGCGATTGTTTAAGTCTTTTAAAAAATTGTTTTTAGCAACAAAGGAAAGATCTTCAAAAATATCTAAAACGAAAGTTTGTGTATGTATACGGTATGGCAAAAAAATTCTGCTTAAATTTATACTAAGTATGTCATGTATTAAGGCATGAATTTGAAAGTACAATATATTTAATCTAATTATTATATGTATTTAAGAGAATATTTTAAATATTCTAAAAATAAAAATTGATTTAATTCTTATTCTTCTTTTTATGTTTCTTAAAGTTGTGTAAAAATATTAACATTTGTAATTGTTTCGTTGATTTTTTTCTTTTTTTTTTTTTTACTTTTTTTTCTGAAATTTCGTTCCATACATTTTATTGATGTAAATTTGTACGATTGTTTGTTGCTATAAAAAAAAAAAAAAAATGCCTTTTACCATTTTTTACTTATAAACTCAATGGTTAGTGAATAAGCCAGCAATGCTTTGAAATTTTCATATTTATATTGGGATTGCCTTTTCCAATTTTGTTTATCGTTTCTTTTTTCTTTTTGTTCTAATTAATTTTATTAGCAAAAAAAAAAAAAAAAAAATGGTTAACTAAATTTAGGCAAAGGTGGCAGAGGGTTACAAACTTATTTTTTTAAAACTGGCTAAGGAGTCGAAACTTATGCAATTTTTATAAAGAATGATAAATTCTAAAAAATTTCTGCCGCTTATCTCTCTCTTAACGGTTACAATTTTTACTTTTATCGCTAAAACGTAATATACGCGTCAGCATCGATGTAATGCACGGTATTTGTTTTTGTTGATCCATTATTGGGCGAGTGGGAACACAGGATTCATAATCCATGGCAACGCGTTGATTGACAAATGTCAGCAAAGTTAAGATATCATATTCCTTGCCATGTGTATTCAACTCTTCTACCAAAGATTGTATAAACCATGAACCATTGGAGGTGTTGCGCCAAGAATAGAAACCTTTTTTTTTTTTTTTAATTAACAATATATTTATTGCATCAATTTATTGTTGAATAATAAGAAAGACTTACCCGGTATTGTGGAATAGGATATAAGAAAATCAGCATGTATGGGTATTTTATAACTCATAGAGGATATTGATAAGCCATCGCCATCCGTTTCAGTCTTTTGTAGTTTAATGCCCGGATCTAAACGATCGCCACGACATGCTTGTATAAAAAATAATTTTGGTTTACCAGCTAACGTAGGACAAGAGACGGCAGTGAAATAATGCCAAATAGTATCAATTTTGTACATGACATCTTTGGCATATAAGTAACCTTGTTCACCATGCGATAATATTGCTATGGCTATGCAATCATTATCACTATGATCTTGAGTAGCGGCTGAAAATTGAATAGGAAGAACTCGCTTTGTAGCTTACATTTTCTAAATATGGATATGTTTTCTTACTCCTTTTCATAATTTTTTTGCACCTTACACCACTTGCGATACAAGGTGTATTAAGTTAGTTCAGATGTATGTTTTAGGTAGAAGAAGAACATCTTAATGTAGAACCTGTTTTTACTATCATACCGTTTAAGCTTGTCTGTCTGTCTGTCCGTCTCCTTTTCTTGTGTTCAACTTACAGGTGGAAAATTTTTGGTAAATTTCGATAAATTTAGTACATCGACAATGGCTGGGATCGGATCACTTTTTCGAATATTTCCCATGTAACACTTTATTTTGAAAAGTCGTTATATCAATAACTGCTTTAAGCGAACTGGCGTAAGGTATTCAGTGACGAACTTTGTTCTCCTATAGTGTTCCCATATATTTTGAATAAACAAAATTCTTCTTTTTTAAATGTCGCCGAAAGCTATTAATTTTATTTTTCCATTTCGAAGAATCACCCTTTTAGATTAATTATATATATTATAAGCAGGCGTGCTATTTAATAGACATATTCTCAATTCTCCCAATGTCGTACGATCAACAAAGGAAAAGTTTTAATAGGCAATTTGTGGCAAATATTGATATGAAGTAGCGTATTTATCAAGACTCTCCGAAACTTCGACGACAAATATAAAAGTTGTATAAAATACGTACAAAGATGTTCAATCTGACATAAAACCGCGAAGACTATCAGAGATTCACTTTGGGGACTTTTTAAACTTCTTACCTTTCTCAATCCACTCTAGAAGCTCCCTTAATTTGCAATCTTTATGATCAGTTACTTCGAAGTCTAATTTTTTAAAAGCTTTCTTCAGCTTCTCACAATCCGCATTAGTACCCTTGCGACTCTCCAGCGATGGTATGTCGAAATATTCATGGTTGAATATTAGGGCTAAGCCACGTCTTTTATGGTTCATATTATACTCCATTGCATTACGTTCGGTGGGCATGCAAGCGACGTGAGCCACATGCTTATGGCTGTCAATAATATATAAAAAGTGGTATAGTGATATAGAAAATGTAGCTTTTTAGCATGATTTACTAATAGTGCAGATAAGTGTAAAGAAAAACTACTTACATGTTTATAGTATTTGCGTTCAAAGTGAAACCATTACTAGGCGATGAAGCAGATTCTTCGCCACAGCCGATACCTAAAGCGTCATGCTTATCAATAGCACTCATTTTTAGCGTAGCACTTGTAATGTGCTCTATTGTTATACATTCATCGGTCATAATTGTACGGTTGTGTGATTGGTTGATTGTGGTTTTCTTTTGTTTTTTTAATAAATCTTTTATACAAAAATAATTCGCACACAATAAGATTTCTCGGCCATTTAAGTAGTCAATTATTTACGTCTTTACAATTTCTTCGGTTTTTTCAATTGTAACGACTCCTTATTTTCATCATACCATCCTTTGTTTACAAACAATCGCTCTCTCGGTTCTCCTCCCCTAATACATTTCAATAAACTAGCGTGTATGGCCCCAGACACGCCGTAATAATTGTGGTAGCTGTTGTTGTCAAGGCGATTGATGATGATTGTCCGCCCAAACTAAAAATTCAATTTTGCTTTAAGCGCACAGCTGTTCTTGCTCAATAATCACCACTTGCTTGTTGCAATTTGTCATCGCAATAAATTATTTGCAATTGTTTACAAAAATGGTAATAATCGCTTTCAACTTCTGTTCTGCTGCTAATACGCTTTTTGGAGGTTATAATATAATATTGTGCATTCTCCATTCAAAAATATCCTCTTTGCTCACTCTCACTCATATAAGTAAACATAATATTAGTCGGCATTTCACTTGTTTGTTTTTGTACAAAAAACGTCACTAACTCCGTTCAAAACATGCTACACTAATCATTATTCTATTATAAAGATACAAACTAATTCTTTTAAAAAAGTTGCCAGAGTTCTTTTTATTTTGACTGCGCAGTCATTCGGCAATATGATATCATTCCAATAGGAATTTGCTCCGTTGTTTATCATGTTCACGTGACGTAACGTAATCAGCATAGATTTTGCAGAACTGAAGAGTAACGATAAGAAATATTATGATGACCATTAAGAAAGAAGAAGAAATAAGAACTCATAGTCCATTTCATCAATTTCATCGACAATTATCAATAAATGAATGATAAAGAAAAAAATGATAATGAACAAATTGAGAAGGGGATATATATAATAGATAATATGTATACAGTATTTATTTATATATATATATTTGTAAAATGTATTTTTTGTATTTTTTGCAATCTGCGGAACACAATTCTGCTCTTCTGCTCTAATTTTGTTGAAACCCCGATTGGAAAAACGAAAGATAAAATTTTCCTATCAGTTTAATGAAAAGATCAGTATTAATGTTTTCATGAAAACTGAATAATTTCACTTTGTTACGGCTTAAACAAAAACGTTCGTGCTTACATTGTTCCCTTTTTTAGCATAACTCAGCGTTGTTAATTTGCTGAATGGCAAAATAAGAAGAAGATTGATAAAATAAACATAATGTGGAAGATTCACTAACTGTTTCATCTTCACAGCAGTATAATTGTTCTGTGATTATAGTGATTCTATAGCAAAAGAAGTGGCAATTAAACTTGCGGATGTGGACAAGCCAAGTATATAAAAATGTCCGGACTATGTCCATCTGCAAAAAATAGACACCATGTAATATTGCAAGCCAAACAGGAAATATGGTGCAAGTTATCACCAGGTGACAGCTCACTTTCTTAAATCACGAAAAAGGAAAATTTGTTTTGCAAAATTTTTTTAGAAGGAACAACTTAGAAAAAAAAAGCATATAAAGGAACGAACATTATCAAAGTCCTTACCAAAATCGAACAAACTGGCTACGAAATGCAAAGCACTCGCTGCTGCTAAAATGGATGTGTGCTAACAAACATAACCAAAGTAATAACTAGACAACTTGAGCCCATAGCCATATTGAGGTTTACTTGCAGCGCAAAAGCGGATGTCGTCCGTATGCTAAAAATCTAAAACGAACCACAACAGAAGGAACATATAAGGATAATTTAAAAAGCAGGTCTGTCGTTGTTGAAAATACATTAGAAAACTTGTATTCTAATTCCCTTATTTCTTATATTTTTGTTAAATATTGTTAACGCAACGGAAGGCAGTAAACTATTTTTTTGTGCCACTATTTGTGAGATAAGCGTTAGTCAGGCACTCAACAAAAGCGGACGAAATTTAACACAAATTCCGTCTAAAACTCTTTTTTTGTAAAAAAATGTAATTTCTTTTGATATTTAAACAATAATAAAACGCATACAAACACACAAACTATTCTCATAAGAAAACTGAAATAAGGAACAATACTCTATTTACGAGTATATCCGCCTGAGTGATCGAAGGCGAGGAATCTCGACTAGCAACTCAATAGTGGTGGGTTCGAATCTCAAGTGCGGTAGAGTTTTTAATAAAAGCCGATAGCCTTAGATGCTAGTGCTTTAAGAGTTTAGTCTTAGAATTTATTTCTCTGGCAAATGAATAATAATAATACTTACGATTACTATTTTTCTTTGTATAACCTGTGCTTTTATACATTTTAAATAAAAATCGCTAGGAAATTTGATATCATGAAACCTCAACTTTATTTTAAAAAAGGAGAAGAAAGAAAAATGTAGACACAGTTATTTAAATGATGAAGTGACAATGAAACGGAAGTGCCATGGATAATACATGCACGCCTTATGAGGAACGCCATTATGACAGTGAACATATGAAGAAAACTTACTGTCATCACGATAATGTGGAAATTGAATGCCACTATATTCATGTCAGTAAGGATGCTTTGCAGTCTGTAAGTCCAAACCTACAACCTTGGCTGAAGTTTTAACCGTCGTAATTGTCTGTGTCCCAGGTTTAATTTGTAAGTGGTTTGGTGAAGGAAGTGATTGAAATGTATGTGTGCACAATAACTGAGGTTGACTTAACAGACAAACAGATACGTATATATACGAACTAACGGACGAAAAATAAGGCATACGAACAATGTGACCGGTTAATAAGCAGAACATACCACCCTCTTTAACATCACTACATATATTTATATATATCTGTTTTTTTCTTATTTTTGTTGTGATCCTTAATCCTCATAAACGCTATTTCTGCGATTAATGAATAAATAAATCATCAGAATCTAATTCGTCGGCTGATTGCCATTTACTGGCAGTGTGTACGGTATCGATTAAAAATCGTCATGTTTAAAGGAACTGTAGGAACAAATTACGCCAATGTGCTTTTGAAAAAGAGTCATACAAGTTTGTTAAAATGTTCTTCGCCCATATGTGTTATTTTAACCACTATACCGGGAAGATACCTTTCGTACTCGGATTTTTGGTTATCGAGAGTTCATAATTCTAAGTCGTCTTCTAAGTTACTTTATGCACTTGCATAGAAAGCACAGCCTCAGTGGTATCTTTGTTTGAATCTCATAAGCATCTCCAAGGAAAAGCTTTTAAGGGAACAAATATGTGTTGCATACGGAGGGTCTTTTGCCGTCAAAAAGTGGTCTTTAATTAATTGCTTCACAACATTTTTTGATTCCGTCAAAAGCTAACAAACGGTTAAGACATCTTTAAAGATTTGTACCTTGGTTGGCGACGCCTTCCTCCCAACGCCTATATATAAGAATTGCTTTTTTACGTAACTTGCTTAAAGCGATCCCTCCAAGATATAAATCTATTCTACACGAATTCACACTAATTTTTTAAAACTATTTTCTACGGATAGAAGTAAAACAAATTTGAATTGAATGCGTATAAGAAGAAAGCAAATTTTGACTGCAACTGCAAAACTCTTTCGAGACTTGGGCTGGTTGGAAAAATGAAAAGACATTTATGCAAATACTTTCTTTTTGATCCATAATATGCATTATAAATAATATGGCATATAAAGCAATTAAGAAATTTATATTCGGCCTGGATCGAATCTCGTATATCTACCACCATCAAAATCTTCTGTGTAGGACAAAATTTTTCTTGCATCTTTTATTTCAATTAAAGGCATTTTTAACAAAAACAATTGAAAATATTATTGTCGGGCTCGGCTGGCTATTAAATACTCTACGCCACGTTATCTAACACAATTCTTATTTTTGCCATAGGGCATAAAAATTCCATTGAACCGTATATTAAAAACTACAACCCATTGCAAATAAAGGCACATAAACAAGCACAACCTCTCAATTTCCTTACCTCGTCCAGCTAAGTTCGAAAGTCAGCGAGACTGATTCAAGAGAATTGTATTTTAATTATCCTTTTCTTAAATATTTTTAATATATTCGAAGCCAATAAACTATTTATTCAACTGCGGCAACAATTTCTATTTAAAAAACCATTGAAATATTATTTTTGTTAAAAACCTATTGTGTAAATAAATAACGCGATTGAAAAAGGGTCAATATAATTGTCGCTCTCAAAGTTAACTAGACTTATCAGGTTCATTTTGTTGCATTTTATTTTAGCCCATTTTTTATACTACAACTGAATGACTGTGATTGTATCCTACTTCGTGTTCAATAAAACCCGGCCAATCAACGTATTTAAGTCTCATAGCCATCAGGCAAGGCATTGGTATGTGGATTATGGAACAATGATTTCGTACCATCGCCCCAGGGGAATCTTTTCTCACGTCTAGCCAAATAATCATATTTCACGAATGGGGGACGAGCATGATGCGCGTGCTCTTGATGCGCCAAGTACGCATTTAACATGCACAATCCAATGGCAGGAAAGGCTACAAAGAAGGACAAACGCTTCCATACTTTATGGCCACCTAAAAACAAACAATAAGCATGAAATAAATTTTCGTTATATAATCACATTCTCAGATAAGAACTATTTTGGAGCATACCTGAATGCTCGCCGGCAGTGGCGGCTGTGCCCGACAATTTAGGAGCACTTAGAGCAATTTGACGACGAATTACTTGGGAAATTAAGGCTGACATCTTGCCTTCTTGTTTAATCAATCTACAAATAATTTTCTTTTCAATGAACGAAAAAATAAAGCAGTTCAGCGATTAGAGTTGCCTTGCTTTAGACACAGATAAAGATTGCCACCTTTATTAATATAAAAATTACTTAGAAACGAACATTGGCAGCTCTTACGTAATCCAAATAAAAACTTCCAAAACAATCCTGTCATATCAGTTGTTCGTGCAGTATGCTTCTTCAAATCAAGTTGTCTTCGTAGGCACATATTAATCCCGTAGATTATTTCTTTTGAGAAAATTTCAATAATAAATTAAAAATTAGCAGGTAAGTGTTTGCACATGTATGAAAGCAGAAAGAGTGTTGAGTAAAAACTGACTATTACTTTGTTAACAAGCTTGCAAAAATGTTAAACGGCTTGGAATATAAGGTATTATTTGTAACGTTTAATCATAGAGAAATATAAGCAAAAATTTGCTTGATGGTTTTTTCAATTTCAAATAAAATTCAATTTTTAGGAATCTTTAACGTCCGGTGCACAGAAGCATATCAAAGCGAAAAATCGTTTGGCTGGCTTAGTAAACATGAAAAAAAGTTATACAACTACAGAAATTAATACAGAAATTAAAGTGGAAGTTAAACTGGAGACTACATCCATTGTTAAAGTTGAGGCCCTTAAGCATAATAAAACTGAGAGTGTTAACACCAGTGAACAATCGGTTGTTATTCAAACGATGAATATCGACGACGTGCCGAAAGGAGTAGAGAAAACTCGTGAAGAAATTAAAGCTGAACGCGAAGCCAAAAAATTGGCCAAACAAGCGAAAAAAGTAAAGTCCAATGTGGGAAAACTTCAGGAATCCAAAGAGCATGTTGCTCCTAAGGAGGTCGATTCACTGGCGATTTCAAACGATGTTTCAGGTAAAGAAAACAATATGGGAAAAAGTGTAGAGCGGATTAATGCCAAGAACGAAGGTAAAGAAAAGTTTAACCGAACAGATGAGCTAACCAAACCTGTTGCCGATGCGGTTGTTGAAGATTTGGCAGGAGACAAATTACACGGCAATAAGGCAATCAAGGCAACTTTATTAGAGGAAAAGGTGAGAAAGTTAAATGTTTCCTTTATTTCTCTTGTACACATATATGTCATGTATCCGTTTCGTTTGGCATACCCATCTATTAATTTTCTTAAAGTTCAGAAATACGAAGTCAAACCCTTCGTTATAAATGATCTGCCCATCTGTCCACACCTCTGTGCGACTTGAAACCTCATGACCGAAAGAATTAAGTAAAAACTGAAATCAGTTTTAAACATCTGGCTTTCATTCATTTTTCAGTCGCCTTCAAAGAGGCTGAAAATAGAAAAAAGTAAATCCTCACAATGCGAAAAAAAAGAAAGAAAAATAAAATACTTGGCAAACGAATTCAAGCATTCGCGAAAATAATCGCAATCAGGAATTAAAAAGACCTTTGCTTAGGGTAGAGGGTATGCATGATTCCTTCCTTATAATGTCATAAATATGTTGTATTCCAGAAAAGAACTTCGTTAACAAAGGCTGAGAGAAGAGCGGTGCAAGAGGCTCAGAGGGCAGCGAAATCTCAAGCTCAGAATCAAAAAGAGAGTAAGAATGTGCAGAGCAAATCAACAAAGACTGCAATAAAGACATCAGTTAAAACTGTTGTCCAAGAGCAAAAAACAAAAGTGTCCACTCCAACCACTTCAGCCACGTCATCTGTAAATGTTGCCCCTTTCAATGACGGCGTTGTAAGATTATTCAGGCATTTGGAACGACCTAACACCAATGTAAATTTATTCATAAATAACCCACTAATTCACCCCAGTATTGCGCGTCTGGGTGAACAATACGCTAAGCGTATAATAGTCGGTTCAAATGCTCGATGTTTAGCTTTCATGAATGCCATGAAAATGGTAAGTTGGTGACATTCTGAAGCATACCTGAATAACAGTTTGCAAATTAGGTCGTACAAGATTTCGAGACACCTCCGAAGAAGGAGTTCAACCGCAGCTTAGAGGCATTTATGAAAAATTGTGTTAATCATTTGCAACAATGTCGTCCGTTGGCCGTTTCAGTGGCAAATGCTTACAAAAACATTAAACAGATTTTATTGCAATTACCCACCGACCAACCAGAATCCGAGGTATAAAAGGAGCATTCAAAGATAACTTATTTTGAATATAAAGCTTCATTTTTACAGCTCAAAGGTAAACTGGTCAATTTTATCGATATATATATCGAAAATCAGATTTACAAAGCTGCTCAAGCTATTAATTCAATGATGCAAAAGAAAATTAATAACGGTGATGTTATACTCACCTTTGGGTGGTAAGTTTTTAAAATCATTTGCCTTTCATTTTACTTTCAAATTTCTCTCTTTTTTTATTTTTAATAGCTCCTCCTTAATTAACTACATATGCGAAGAAGCTCAAGCTAGGAAGATAGATTTTCGTGTCATTATCGTGGACTCGCGTCCTTTTTGTGAAGGTCAGGAACTTTTAAGACGTCTTACAGCCAAGAACATACCATGCACTTATGTTCTCATTAATGCCGTTAGCTTTGTGATGCCAGAGGTTACCAAAGTTTTATTAGGTGCGCATGCTTTGTTAGCTAATGGCTATGTTATGGCTCGTACTGGTACTTCTCAAGTCGCTTTGGTAGCGAGATCTTTTAATGTACCGGTGTTGGTGTGTTGTGAAACTCACAAATTCAGTGAACGTTTTCAAACCGATGCTATCGTCTATAATGAGCTAGGAAATCCTGATGACATAGTAGTCGACGATAAGTGTTGTCTAACTAAATGGCAAATGAAAAATATATCACCTCTTAATTTAAATTATGATATAACACCGCCCGAATTGGTCACTGCGGTAGTAACCGAAGTATCAGTTTTACCATGCACCAGTGTACCAGTTATTTTACGTATTAAACCCGATTGGTTAATGTACGCTACTTAATGTTATTGTATAGAATCTTGTGAAAGAAAGGAGATGCAGTCCTCTGTTTGCATAAAATAAAATTGAATATTTTAATAATAACTTATTTACGTTATATTAGTATAAGAAATTAAATATGAAATATTTTTAGCGCAAAAAGTCTGCTATCTGCGATAAATGAAAATAATGGGGAAAAGTGCTTTTATTTTTAAGTTATGCTCCCATTAAAACATTTCTGAAAAGCGACGAATTTGATAATATAAGTGATTTGAGTAGACCATTGAAATCATGCTGTCTGCTAATAATAACACATGCTGCAAAAGGTTCCCAGTCTTGGCGACGAATGCAAGACCTTCAATTCTATTACTTCTTGCTAGCAGCGATCTGACGAAAAAGATGATTTTCAATGTTGAATACTGCACTGGACAGAATCTATTAATACACATATAAAACGTGAGTCCACCAGTTGTATTTAGCAATAACAATAGATGACCAATATAGGGCATATTAGTACCAGTTCCTCGCACCGGACGGACAATTATCAATTGTAACCTCCGTTTTTATCTTATTTGCTGCACTCTACTCACTTTTGGCACAAGAGTGTATTAAGCTTATGCGGATTTTTGCAATAACCAGAAGGACTCAACTATTGTTATACACTTTCTGAATTGGTCCATCTTCTACTCTTGGGTACAGCCGCCAGATTGCAATTTTTAAGATATTTCGATTAAATTTGCTTCACCAACGTCTTTTAGACGGAAGGCGAGCACTGTTAAAAAAAGAAAATAGTTCGGATCGGATATCAAGCCTCATCGTTACATGAATAACTATGAAATGGTATTTAAGGACGAGCCGTTTCCCGCGATAGTGTTTTTATTTATTTTATAATGTGTATGCCTGTATTTCTCCAACTATTCTGCTCCAAAAGTTGAATTAAAAACCAGAATTGTGTTCATCTATCGTTTTGTATAAAAATGTTAACCTCCTATAGATTTATTTATATAAATAAATAGAATAATGAATTTTTCTTGGCTACGATTAAACATGTACGTATATTTTATTTATTTATTCTTAAATTCTAGATACATTAAGTTATGCTTTCTTATTCCCTCAAGTATATATATGCTTTGATAAAAGTTTGTTTGATAATGTGGTTAATGAATAAATTAAAATTCTTGCCAGTGTTTTGCTTTAAGAGAGACAAACTTGATGTACTGATGATATATATTTTCACTGTATATATATATATATGCATACTGATCAAGTATAGGTTTTTACAATAATTTGTATTTTTTAAAAAAATTGTTAAGGATTGTGCTCTAACAGCTATTTTTAAAACTATTTAAATACAAACAAAGAAAAAAAAATCAATAAAATTAATTAAAATAAAAAGAAGAAAACGATCACTTTAACACACACAGCTAAGCTATTGAATTTCAATTTTTTTGCTTAAATGTTTTTCTGCTTTTTAAATATTTTTAATAAACAAATTAACAAGAATTATTTAAACTGTTTTCATAGAATTCGATGCAATCAATACATTTATACATGCACATGGGAATGAATGTATTGTAAATTTAATATTCCATATATTTAACACAGCAGCGCAAAGTTTTTTAGTATACAAGCGATACAGGAATTCAATTTTTTGCAGGCGTTGACATTACATTATGCATTTACGGACTAATTTTTTGTACCAAACGAAAACATGTACGACATACAGGTACCGGTCGTCCGCTGTCTTGTCCAGGTAAGGGTATGTTTTTATCAATACAACGCTCGCAGAAGACATCGCCACATTTCCAGCAATGAGTCTAAGGCAAAATAAAGAAAATTATATTCCATTTACTATTTTGATAAAAGCATTTTAAAGTTGAACACCTTTCAGCTGAATCTAAAACATCCACTATATATTTTTTTTTTATTTTTTTTATTTTATATATTGGTAGGTGAGATAAGTGCTTTAGTCTTCTGTATCAATTATCGTGTAATTGAGAATTTTAAAAATGACAAGCAAGCCTTGCGCATTTTATTTGCGATTTAATCATGCGAATTTGGACTGTATAGTCCTTCGCAGATAAATAAGATTTTTTAATCAAAGCTATCACTCGCCTTGGTAAACAATTAATTAAATAAAAAATACGGTCGAAACAGTGTTAATGCATCGGGCAATATTTTGCCGGAGTTAGGCAAAAAAGGGAATATATTTTCTGCATATAATCTCCTTCAATGGAAATACATTCAGTCCAACGTTTTTCCAATATTTCAAAAATAGAACTGTCATTGCAGGCTAGATTTGGGAAAGCAATTCCAGTTCCAATTCATACGATTTGCCATTGCAGCGATCGGCTGTGGTAGCGTCCTTTTAATCCACTGTGCGTAAATGCGGCACTCATTATTCCCATGACTGTATATTCATAAATTATTGAGTTCACATCCATATGGCGAATATGTATGAAACATGAGAGATATTTATTGAACTTATAGGTTAAGGTCGACCTCAAAAACCAAACTGCTTTGGTTAATTTTGCTTGAACTCATGCATGCGTGCAAAATCATTGCACCGAGATAAGAATGAAATGGAAACTATTTTTGTGCCTTATCAGCACTTATGCTATTGCAAACTTTTGCAATGCAATTATCGTTTATGCCTTGGTTGTATAGTCTCGGAAATAGAGACTCTGTTTTCATTTTCCACTACATTCCATAGGGAAAGTTTAAGAATTATCGTATATTGTGACAAATGTTCAAAAGTTAAAACAATCTAAGGAATAATCGCCGATTAATATGAAGCCAAACAATTTATGACCAGAGGTCTATGGTTTTATGAAAGTTGGGGTCTGTCTTACTATCTAATGGACGCTTTGAAATGACTAGAAAAAAAATCACATCACTCAACAGTCCTATATAGGAGGATGGATAAAGTTGGTCTTACCCGTTTCATATTTTAATTAATTATTTCTCTCTCGACTCGCTTTACTTTATTTAATTTAAACCTTTATCTTTTACCTTTTTACTAAACTGATCAAACGGTGTTGAGCAAGAGCAGACAGTAACTTTACGCATTGGTTTCCAATCAACGGCAACCGAATCTATTTCTTCCGCCAAACCATTAGGATCAGCATCTTCGGAAAGCTGCTGAAGACAAATGTTAGAGATTTAATAAAAAAAAAAAATTTGCTTGAGGACTTACGGATAAATTAGCAAAAGATATTCCACTAGGTTTTAAAGGATGATCATCGTCAGCTGAGGAAAGTTCACTTAGCTTTTTATCATAGTTATATCTATATAAGAAAAGGACAATAACACAAAAACAAATCATAACTGATGGCAACTTTCAATACAATAAACGCTTACTTGTTATCATTAATTTCGGTTGTAGGAGTTTCTTTGGAATTAGTTTTTGTAACAGTGACATCTTGTAACTTTTTAGCTGATTTTGATAAGTAATTTTTAAAACTAGCAATCCGCTGTTAAGTGATATATTAAGAGTTTATCTTATGAAGCAAAGAGAAAACAAATGATTGCAGGCAGACCTTTGTTAAATGCTGCACATGGTCCTCCAGAGAATTGCAATGATCTTTGCTGGCCAATAGTAAATCTCCTAAAGGTTCACGCGGATGTACACCACTTTCGAAACGACTATACATACCACGCCAAAATCTACGGAGATCATATACATTTTTTTGTAAAATAATTTGCCATTATTCGATTCCAAGCTTACTTTATACATTGTGGCGCCAGGTTAGCTTTGATGGTTTCATCTACATTCGGTTTGTACAAAGGATTAATGTATTCATTTAAATGATTGGTCATATAACCCCATAAGGAAAATGTACGTTCCGTTAATTTTAAATCCAAGCGATCCTTTTCACAATTGCCAACGAATGTACCAAATTGACACGAATGCACATGATCGTGTAAAATTAGTAGAAAACGTTCGTTAAATTCGAAAGCATCGTTACGTTGCGACATCAGCTGCCAAGTGCAGTCTAAAAATTGTGTAAAAATTGGTGAGACTTCTCGATTATCAGTTTGTATATGGCCGCAACGATCACTGAATTTATGACCAAAAGATAACCAATCTTTCTCGATCAAAGACTACATAAAGTTAACATAAAATGTAAGGTAAGTGTTATTGTTCTTGTTGTTGTCATAGAATATATGAATTCACCTGAAAGCCTTTTATAGTTCTATAAAAGGGATCCAACATTAGAGCAGCCAATGAACAAACTTGAGCGGTACGATCCCAACCGTCCGAGCAATGCACTACCACTGAAACTCCTTTGTCCACCACATTTGATATAAAACTGCAACAACAACAACGGGAATATTGAAAGGATTACAAAAGATAATTATTTTATTCTTGCTTGGTATCTTTTTACCTGGAAGTATCCAAAATAGAGCGTATATGCTTAAGCCAACCAGACGATTCTAGAGCATTTAGGAAGCCGCTCATTGTCGGTGTCTTCTGTTCACAAGCCTCGACAAGCTTTTGCAAGCTTGTACGTTGCACATGAATATTCTCAATGCCGAGAAAATGGAATTTAATATTCTCATAGAATGCTTCGTTTTCATAACCTTTTCCAGTAGCACGATTCGCTAAAGCATTTATCTGCCAAGAAAACAACCAAATTGAAGTGCAATGCGTGACGATAAAGGAAAGCATTTTCACTTACCCGAGGTCTTGTATCCACAACATACATATAATCAGAATTAGGATTTGTTTTGCGAATAGCTTCCAACATTTGCTCATCTTCCAGACAGCGTGCACTAAATCCCGACAAAGGCTGACTACAGCGGCATATAGAAGCCTATAAAGACGTGGTAGGGAATTGAAAATGAATGAAGTTTCCTTCTAAGCTAACTAACAACTATATTGGTCGCCTAAGTTACTTATTAAATAAATCGGGAAAAAAATTTTTCATATTTTTATCATTTTTTTTTATTTTTATTTTTTAAAACGTTAAGCAACAATTTCATAGAAAGAAAAAGTTAGTAAAAATGTTTTACATTATTTGAAAAACAAAATGCATATGAAGATGATTAGGATGATCATGACGACAATGATAATGATGAAGATGATCAAATTCTAATAGTTATTTAGGTCTTGCCGGTGGCCAAGCTGGCACTGGTGGTGGCAGATTGAATTTTTCTTTAATTTTCAAAAATTCATACGATTCGCACACCATTGGCGTTTCGAGACAGCGGCATTCAATTGGATGTAACTTCCTTGGGGGGGGTTTTATGCATTCTGAATAGGACGGATAGGGAGTGCATTCTTTCTTGCAGCCCGAAGGTGCACGAAATACTTGGCATTTATTATTTTTTCGGGCTGGTGGACAGCATGGCATTTTAATTTTGGGGCGGCATGGTTTCATTTTCTCTTGTTTCAGGTCACTCATTGATTTTTTCATGCACTGCTGCAGTAGGGTATAGTCGATTTTTAATTTTTCTGCACTTTGTTCGCAAGCGCTACTTACTGGAGCCTTTTTTGTTGATTTCGGTAACTCCTCGTCACATTCGAAACAGCAAAGTTTTTGTTTTCTCTTTTTGATTGGACATGGCAGCCATGTTTGCTGGTATTTCCGTTTATTCTTATCGGAAGCATGATAAAGAGTCTCGTCCGTACGTGGAGTTATCTCACAACTAGGCTTATAACCAGGCAATGTTGCCCACATTGACTTGAACGGTTTTTTTTCAATTTTTCTCTTTTTCGCCTTTCTCACTTTACAGGGACCTTCACGGTCCAAGCCTTCATCGACGCAACATCTTAGTTTTTGTTTAACTTCAATAGAAGTCGGTTTGCATTCATTACCTCTATGAACTGGGCAAGCACCTGGGCCAGCGCAAGTGGGTGAACACGGTAAACATCCACTTGGTGGCATTTCAATTTTTCTGCCTTCGCATAAAGGCGGTGGCTTCCAAGAACCCTCAATCATAGTATGCTTTCCATTCCAGGAAAAATTCCATTTCAGCGACCACTGCCTAGCAGTGGGCAATAATGTTTTTAACAATTTGCATAAAACGTGCATTTTGCTTTAGCAAATTTAAATTTTGAATTTGGTTTTAAATTTTGAATTTTTTTTTTTTTTTTAAATAAATATTATTTGACGAAAGAATCTCACATATTCCTGAATATCAAACTGTAAATGTGTATATTTCAAGTATTTTGAAATATTTAAAAATACGAGCATATATGATCGAAAAATTTACGACAGAAAATGTTATTACAAGTTGTAAGTGGATATTAGATCGTAAACATAACGGAATATTTGCATAGGTAGTGAGCGGAGAAAACGCGCTTCAATTTTTTAAAGAGGCGATGGGGTATTAAAATATTTTGAAGGATTCCGTAGGATTAGATGTAACGAAATGTTTCGGCTAAAAGATGAACGCCATTGAATATTGTATGGATGCAAGAACTTTTCGACCTCTTCCTATAAAATGCCTTATTTTGAAAAGTCGCTATACGAATGATCGTGGGGTGGAATATACGTACATAATCTCACCCTGACATAAAACATACATACTTGTTAAGAGAATTATAAAAAAAAAAAAATTCAAACTTGCTTGCAATTTTAAATAAAGTTCAAACTAAAAAAGAAAGAATTTGAAAAATATTTGAGTTTGAATGGAAATCAGAAGAATTCAAATAGCAGAAGAGTTCTTCAAAGCAAGAAAATTGGACTTAAAAATAATATTTGAGATAGACTTCACCTTTGACTGTCTCACGATCAATTAATTGCCATTTTTGTTAAGAGCTATAGTGGATGGATGGACTTCTTTTCCCTACATACAAAAAAAAAGTAGAATTATTGTCAATTTGCATAAGAAAGCAAACGAGGCAGAGAAATAATTACATTACGGTTTCAGAAAAACAATGCGATTCAATCAGGAAGAGCTCCAGTAAAGCCTAAATGATTAAGTAGCGCGTTGGAGCGCATATCTACCAATTGCACGCAAGAGCAGATCATTGAGAAGTGTCTTATGTACTAGATTTTACACAAAAGATTTACTTATGAATAATATAGACCTTTAGATGAAGCAGTGGAATTGCATTTGCCACATTATTCATATGTATGGTATGTGTATATATTTTTGTTTTCTATCCTTAGGTGGTACACGCAATAATAAATAAGAAAGTTATATTCGCTTAGAGCCGAATCTCTTACGTCCCGCGCTTTTTTCTTTCTGGTCTCACTTATTTAAGTGAATCGGACAAAATATCGACTAACAACTATGATCGTGGTTTTCGAATCTCAAGTACGGTAAAGTTTTTAATAAAGCCTATAGCCAGTTTTGGATGCTAGTGGTTTAAGATTAGTCTGAGAATTTATTTCTTTGGCTAAATTAATAACAATATAAAAAGGGGTCGGATGGGTTTTACGAAGTAACCACTTTCAGTGGGACAAACTTATTTTTACACCTAATAAGAGTATCGATATATATGTGTCTATATGTAGAAATGTATGTGCATATATTCTGTCACAATCTTATTCAACAAGAGCAAAGCAATGATTCAAAGTTTACTTTGATTCTGAGAACCTGATATTGCATGATTTTGATATCTATCGGCTGAGAGGAGGAATGTATGTATATCTCTTCCATTTTCCCAAATTGTATTGATTGGGGGTAGCCGGCTTTAATGGAACAAATAAAATGTTTTGTACGACTTTGCTTCTTGAGAAGAGTAAGGAGTAATTTTTCTAAAGTTCATTTACGAAAAGCTAGAGATGGTTCATATTTTCTTTCTCGCTTTCAAACAGGCATTCACTCAGCTCACTCAATCTATGAAATTACAAATCGACACTTATACCTTTACTTATTGTTCTCTAGTGACCACTATCCATATGCCCCCACTGCCCCCCATGGCAAGTTAATGCGAAGTAATGTAATGAGTCTCTTTATAGGTCAATGCTTTGAGCAACAAATATATAAGAGGTTTGTACAAATTATTAAAGCACTTATCCATTTTTTTTTTCCCAACATATAAATCTCTTTATTAAGATTTATATCAATAAAATACCGCCCAATTATTAAGAAAAGACATAGAAAGTTTGCAAGAATGTAGAAACTTTTTTACCACCACCATCTCTTCTTTATAATTGTTGTTAACCGCTTTTAAATTAAGCAGATTATTTGGGCCTTGGTGGCCAGGCCGGCAAGGGTGGTGGTAGATTAAATTTAACTTTTCTTTTCAAGAATTCCACAATTACGCAGCCTGCGTCCAGTTGCCAGCATTTACATTCGACAGGATACGGTTTTCGGGTAGGTGGACGTTGACATTCTGAGTAGCTCGGATATGGAGTACAGATCTTCTTGCATTTGGACTTAGGCTTGCCTACACATTTTAAATTTTTTGCAACTGGTTGGCAACATGCCAGACGAATTTTAAGACATTTAGGAATCTCCTTTGGTATTTCCTTAATAGATTTCTTCATGCATTTCTTGAGTAACTCGAAGTCGACCTTCAGTTTTCCATCATCCTCGGGGATTGCACTCTGTACTGCAAGTTTTCTTCTTTCTGTACAGGCGGGCGATGCTTCTGGCAAGTCGTCGAAGCAACAAAGTCTCCTTTTTCTTTTGATCGAGCCGCATTCATCCCAAGTTTGTTGATATTTACGTTTCAGTTTATCGCTGCTATGGTAATATTCCATGTCATGACGTATTGGCAGGACACACCCGATAGGTTTGTAATCTCCCCACATTGATTTAAGAGGAGGTGGATATTCAAGATCGTGTTCCAGATTATGTTGATGAATTGCTCCTTCACAAGCATCTTTTGTAAGACAACTCTCCGGTTTCTCATCACATTTTGTGTCAGCAAGAGCTGGACAAACACCGGAAGCATGACAAGGAATTGCGCACGGTTTTGCCGAACAAGGTTTTTTATTTTTATGAAGGCTGCCACAAGTGGGTGCGGGACCTTCGTTATTAACAACATACCCAGAAGAATAGCGTCTTTTCATCCATAATCTGGAACAGTTCTTAACAGCGTTAGTCACCTTGAAAACTTTAAACATGATATAACATATAAAATTTTGTAGTTTTCCCTAAATATAGAAATATAATTTGATATTTTGAGGCAGAAAGGGAGTATAAGGAAGATTTGAACAGATTAAATGAAAAAAGCCGAATGAAGAATATTTGAAAAAATTTCTCTGACAAAGTGTGAACAAACGCTTACTAGGATATCTAAATGAGCGCACAGTAAATAATATGGCAAAGTAGTAAAAAAAATCAATGAGTTATAATAATAGAACCTGAAACCTGTTTAGGTCCTACACTATTTGTGGAACAAGGGCATACTAAGTTTATGCGAATGTACGCAGCACCCAGGGCGACTTGAGATAAATACACCTTTTATTGCACCGATCGCTGAACAAATCTAAGCTTGTCTGCCTGTCGGTCCATCTCTTTTCCTTCTCTTTAAGACTACAGGTCGCATTTTTTAAGATATTTCGATGGAACTTGTTATGTTGACCTTTTTGGCCCAAATTGATAATCATTCGGTTAGGGCCACTCTAAAGCCTTATTATATCCCATCCTGTTTGTGAGGTAATTAAGTTTACACAGATATTCATGACACCCGGTAGGGATTAATACGGGTCCATATTTTATTGTACCAATCGATTCAGAATCATTTTTTGAAGCTTTGGAGACACTTTGATGTGATTTGTTATGTTGAGGTTTTTTGGCCCAAGAGCGAACCAATGGTTTTGATCCGAATACTTTTTATCATCTGCGATGGTAGTTGCCTTGAACTTAGTCTGGCGAGCACGATTCACAACTTGAGGAACGGTTCTAGCTTCGGTTGCAAATGTATTATACATCTTACATATTGTATATTCTATCCCCCTTACAGCACTTGTGTTATAAGGGTATATTAAGTTAATGCGAATGTATGCAGCACACGAAAGGACTTAAGATAGATTTACCTTGTATTACACATAAGCGTTTTCATGAAATGTTTTGGCCTAAGAACGAACGCTATCGAAAGTTGGACAGATCGGAGCACATTTTCAAACACTGCCTATAAAATGCCTTATTTTAAAAAGTCGTTATATGAATAACTTTAGGGTGGTTGGAGGGTATTTCATGGTAGGCCCTGACTCATCATAGCTTTTTTACTTGTTCTTATCTCTGAAAGACAAATAATCGAATCTGAACATATTAAGGTGAAATTCTTTTGCGAACTTTTTATGCCTAGTTAATCAGTTGCTTTAGCTTGATTTGAAAGGCTGATGACAAAATTTGTTTTCATGCAAAGGCATGCTCTTCATGAAAATCCGCACATCGGAGGATGGCAAACTTAATTTATTTCCTAAAAATTTTATTAATTTCCAGTTTCCATCGTAAAAAACTGGCCAACTGGTCCAAATTTTTCATACCAATTTAGAATTTCCAAGTGCTATTACTCAGCGAATTTTAACGAACGCTTTTGAAAATTGCAATTTCATATAATAACTTTTCCGAACCATAGCGTTCATTCTTGAGTCAAAATACGCCGCCGTGCCAAATTTCACCAAAATATTTTGAAAATTGTCACTTGTAAGTTGAACACATAAACACATGGACAGACGGACAGACAAACTGATTCGATCGATATAGTAAAGGTTGGGTCTGTTTTAATTCCTTCTGGGTGTCACGTACATCCGCACAAACTTAATATATCCCATATCACGAGTAGTATCAAGAATAAATAGTGTATTAAAATTCGCCTTCTGCTCACTAAGTTCTGTCATCCGTATCGATCGGACTACTAGTTCTTTTGTTTGATACTTATCACAACGATTGGGTTGCTAAGAAAAAATAATTAGGCCCTTTGTCGCGTCTGCCCGCATTTAATTTAGAATTATCGTCTGTGGCTTGTCGCATTGTACTCTGCAAGCTCTTTTGCTTGAGACCCATCACTTCGATTGGATTGCTAGGAAGGAATAAATCCGCTTCGACTTGCCACCCGCCCATGTTCAGTTTAGAATTAACGCATTAATTGCTTAGCGAATTCTAAGCTTTTCTAAGCTTTTTTAGCGATTGTCAAGAAAAAGATTCGTCCTAAAATTTCAACACAGTGAAATATTTGCGAGTTTCGAAATATTCATTGTTTTCATGCTTACAGGACGAATAAATAAATAGATAAATAAAAAAAAAAGAAGACAGAATTAATTGAAAGTCTTGATCGGTAACCACTTGTGAGTGTCCATAGTAACGTGACTTCGTAAGTAAATAAAACTAATAAAACTTCAAATATGCAGCTACGCGTACATATCTTTATTATTCCACTTTCAATTTTCAACTATATAG